CCCGGGATCAGGGGAGGGCAGCGCCTGGCCCCACAAGGCCCTGGGATCAGGGGAGGGCAGCGCCTGGCCCCACAAGGCCCTGGGATCAGGGGAGGGCATTGCCAGCCCAGGGTCCCAGTATCAAGGGAGGAAGGACAGCATCTGGCCCCAGAAGGCCCTGGGGTCAGGAAAGGGCAGCACCTGGTTCCATGGGCCAGGGATTCGGGGAGGGCATTGCCTGGCCCCACAGGACTGTGGGATAAAGAAAGGACAGCACCAGGCTCCACAGGGTTTCAGATTAGGGGAGGGTAATGCTATGCTGCAGAGAATTCCGAGATTAAGGAAGGGCAGCGCCCGGCCTCCCGCGTTTGTGGGACCAGGAGATGGCAGCAGCCGGCCCCAAGGGTCTGCGGGATTAGGTGTAGGCAGCGCCCCGCCCCAAGAATCCCAGAATTAGGCGAGGGCAGCGCCCGGCCCCACGGGGCTGCGGGACCAGGGGAGGGCAGCGCCCGGCCACACGGGGCTGCGGGATTAAGGGAGCGCAGGGCCCGGCCCCACGGAATCCCAGGATTAAGGGAGGGCTGCGCCCGGCCCCACGGGACTGCGGAATCCCGGAGGGCCCCCAGCACGGTGACCCCCGCCCCTCGGCCCCGTCCACCGCGCACCGGCGCCAGCATGGGGCCCGGGAGGGCAGGTTCCCGCAAGCACTCGCATGGCCCCGAGGCGGCACACCGCTTGGCCAGCGTCCCCGGGCGCGCTGGACACGATAGGGAAAGCGGGTCCGGGATGAGAAGCGCGGGGCGGCGCGCCTCAGGCCTTCCGCCGAGACCCTGCCGGGCGCGGGGAGCGCGTTCCGCCTGGGCGCCCGCCTCTCGGAAGGGAAGAGGAAGCCACGGCTCTGTGAGGCCACCCGTCACCCGCGCCCCGCCACGTGACCGCGCCCGCCACACACCTGGAGCCAGTCCGGCCGCCCTCGCTCTCGGGGCCCTGAAACATGTCGCCCGCCGCCCGGCACCTCCTCGCCGGCTGTGCTGTAGTTCCCGCCCGGCCCCACGCAACGCGAGGCCCGCCCACCGGCGCCCATTAGATGACGCAAATGCCAGTCATGCCACCACAGCCAATCGCGGCGCCTGGCCCCGCCCCCACCCCGCCGGGACAGGCGCAGGACGAAGCCGGCGCCACGCTCGCAGCCGACTGGTGAGAGCAGGTGCCGCTCGGGCACCGAGCGCCGACATTGGACAGCAGGGCGGCATGGGCGGGGCGTAACCCCATCCAAGGCGGACGCCAGGGCCGCCCCATGGCCCTGCGCAGGCGCGTGCGGCGCACCCCGGAGCGCCTCGGGTGCGAGGACCGCCGATTGCCCGGAGGCGCGCGGGACGGCCCCGCGTGCGGCTGGCGCGCGCTCGCCAGGCTGCAGAGCTGTCACTTGGAGACCATGCGAAGGAGACGAGTCGCACTCGGGAAGCATTAGATCAAGTATTAGTATGTATTTATGCACAATAATAAAAACAGATTTACAAGTTGAACTGGAAATTTAAACATAAGAAGTTTAACAGCTTTTGTTTATTATATTAAATAACCAAAACACCTTTTATTCCCAAAATTGGTAAAGAATAAATAATATAATTTACAATATGATACAAAAAATAATCAGGAAGGACAGGCATTCTGCTTTATACATACACTGTATATTGTATATTTATAATCTATTAAACAAATTCACATCTCAAACAAGCCGAAACCTTAGATGATATGGCTTAACGATTATCAAAAGAAACAGCGTTCAGTTCTGCGGCCCAGACCACAGCTCTGGCGCCGGCCATCCTGTTACAAAACAAAGGGTCCAGGTTGCTGTAGTGATTCCAAGACTGACTTAACGTGAGTTACCAATTACTGCGGGGTCCAGAGAGTTCTGACAGGAAAGGTGTGCGGAGGGTCTCTTCCCTTTCTTCATAAGACAAAGTGCCCTCTTTGCTCACAAACGTATCTGATAGATCTCAAGGTCTTAAAAAAGAAAGAAAGAAAGAAAAAAAAGCAACTGCTGCTCTCCTTTGTCTCCGGTGTCTTTTACTCTGTGACTTTTCTTTGCAAAAAATCAGATCTGATCAAGTTAAAAGAGGCTGTCTAACTGAAAAGGACACCCTTGACGGATTCTGATGCTAAGAAGCTGGAGATGTGAGAAAGCAAGATGGATGAAATGTTTCCAAATACCCGCTCCCTGAGCAAGTACTCTACAGCTAGGAGACCCGGCACGGTGAGGAAAACCACCAGTGCTGTGTGGAGCCCCCAGCTTCGCCTTGTCCCTGCGTCTTCTAAAGGATGGCGAGCTCCGCCCTGGACACTCACAGTAGAAACGAAGGCCCAAACACCAACTCCCTGGAGACCGGATATTCTCCGTCTCGATCTTTCAAAATGATGAATCAGCAAAAAGCTCCCAGATGGCCTTATGCTGGCTTGGGAGGGCCTTTCTGAGGCACCGCCCTGGTCTCAGGGCGCGTGGAGGAAGCCACAGGGGCACAGAGACGGCCGCTTCTGCTGGAAAGGCAGGGGAAGGAATGGGAAGAGCAGTTTCTCTGGTTGGGGCTTTTGAAAATTCCAGGCCTAACAGCTGCTTATTTTTATACACGCGCATTTAGGCTGGGAGAAAACACACTCATCCTTTTCATGCCATTAACGACGCCACTTCCCCTGAGCTTGGCCAGCAAACGCTTATCAATACCTGTCTGGTTGCTGCATAAGTGGCAGAATTCTCTGGAATCACATCAGCTTTATTACAGGTGAGAAGAATCTTCCGCTGTCCTCACTAACCACCCCCCTTTCCCTGCCATGATACTCTAGATGGGAGTCTGTGGTCCAGCCCCCAAGGGGAGGTGCCACTCAACAGCCTACAGAAGCCTCTGCTTTTTCTCTTCTTAGGGACACCAGACTGCCTCGGGGCGTCCCCGATCAAAGCAGCTGAGACCTACTGTCCTCTGGCCATGTGCACACCGCTCCCAGCATGGATGCAATGCTGTAATGTTACTCAGCCATCTCTGGTTCCAGATGGTGGGAGTATGAGCAGGTTATCAGTGGACTAAACTCGGCCCGGTGTCCTAAGAGGTGCCCAGGGACAGAGACACTGATCTTATCACCTCAGTAAGGTGCTAATTTCAGGAAACCGAAGGATGGATCTCAAAGCCACAGAAGCTGGTTGAAAGACACTCTGGTTCAAGTGACGCCATCTCTCTCTCTTCATAAACGGGCACTGTGTCCTTATGACACATCTCCAGAGCTTTCGGACTTTTTGTAAGAGTCTGGAAGAGTGTCTTTTATGGGTGATGTTTGTAGCTAGAACCCGACCCGAACGCAGGAGACCACCTTAGCAAGTGGCTAAGAGCCACTTAAGATGAGAGAAGGAAGCTACTGGCCGGAAGCCCAACCGCCCACTGCGCCCCGCTGCCCGGGGTGAACGCCCTGCCCGCGGCCCGCAGTGGCTGCATCTGTGCGCTGAGGCTGTGAGATCGGGGGCAGCCCCCCTGCCTGTACACACAAGACCTTTCTGCCCTTGTCACGGTGGACGGGGGAGAAGCCCGCGTAGGGGGCCGGGCCGGGCCCGGGAGGCCGCCACTCTGCCAGTCGGAAAGAGCACAAAAACAGCGGTCAGTTCAGGCGGGTTTCAGAAGCCAAACTGAGGCCGGCCGCCGGGCGGAGGGCCAAGCAGCAGGGGACGGCGGCACGCGCGCGTTCCCCGAGCCACACCGCAGCTGGCTCCCAGCTGCAGCCCGCGGTCGGATGGCGTTTTGTCTGTCGAGCCTCCCGAGGCCGAGAAGCAAGGGAGCCCTGTGGCTCCACTCGGCAGGAAGACGGGAACCATGTGCAGTGATGCCAACTGGTCGCCCAGGGGGCCGAGGAGCGCACCGGAGGGATGTGGCTAGTGTGTTCCAGCCACACCCAGGCACTGGGCCTCTGCTCGCGTTCCCCACGCGGGGGGACAGACAAACGGAAGGCCCCAGGGCAGGAGTAAACGTGAAGGACGAAGTGTGCGTGCCGGGGAGGCTCTGCACAAAAGCGCATGGAAGGGAGAGGAGCTGCTGAAGCAGAGAAACCCTCCCCGCAAGGCCCGTGGCGTCCGGTGCTGGATGGCGGACGCTGGCCAAGGCCCACGTGTGGTCCCAACAGAGAGCGAGCACCTCAGCTGACCAAGAGGACACTCAGATCACCAGGAAGAAACTTGAACCTAGGAAGGAAACCATTAAACTCTGTTTTTCTTCGACATCTCCTAATTCTAAAAACACGAGGAGGACCTTTTTCCAACCAGCTTAGCAGGACCTTTTCCTAAAAGTCCACAGAACCTGCGCACAACAGGACCCTTCGCTCCTTCGCACTCAGCCAGTCGGAACACACCTCTGGGCAAAGGCAGGGTGTCTGCGGTGACGGCACCAGTTATGCTGCCCTGCGAGCCGAGTGTCCTCGGAGGGGCCCGCCGTGGAAGGGTACACACCCCACCAGGCAGACCCAGGCCAGGCCCCTCTGTCCCTCCCCGTCATCACTCCGCAGAGAAAGCAGCCCGACAGCGCACAGGTGTGGCAGAAAGAAGGCAGCGGTGGCTGGAAGCGGTCCTGCAGAGCGGGGCGGCCACCCCCCCGGGGCCAACGACCATGCCGCGGCACACCCGTCCCTCTGCCTCGGAGAGAAGGCCCACTGACCGTCCAACACACGCACTGAGGCAGAAGCGTGGGTGGAAATGTGGTCGCTACGCGGACCCTAACAGGAGACCCCACGGCTGGCAGGAACTGCTCCAGCCCCACGGCCCCAGCTGACAAAGACCCTTCCAGAAAATTCGTCCTTGTGTACCGGGCCACCACTGGCCTCTGCCTGTGGGGACACCACTTCTGGTGTGTTCTGCGTCGTGGGTGCAGAGGTTCCTCTGTTTGGACTGTCCTCAGGGGGTTTGGGCCTGATTTACGTTTTCTCTAGCCTGAAGAGGGCCACGCCTACCACAGCGGAGGACCACCAGCCAGGAGAGCCCTCCTCTGCAGCCCCCAGGATGCCCCACCAGTGACGAGGTGTGGTCACTGGGATAGGTCACCGACGGGGGGGCCACCTCCGCTGCCATCAAACAGAACCTCTCGGCGGCTGGGGTCAGCGATGGACAGTTCTTGGGCCAGATCGTTGAATCGAGAGATGTAATCGATGCTGTTTTCATTCATCATGCACACCAGCTGGGAATCCACAACCTGCAGGCGGAGGACACGAGGCAAGACCACGTCAGCTGGTGAGCGGCTGCTGGACCGAGAGCAACCGGCCACCACAGCAGGGACTTCAGTGGATGGTGACTGAACCTGGGGTCTGTATGTACAGTGAAGATCAGACTCCCCCAGCAGCTAGCCACATGACAAGGGCCCAGAGCTTGGGGCGGGGCGGGGGGGTGGTGGTGGTTAGGAAGCTCTCTTCTGCCACTTCGAGCTCTCCCTCTCTGGACACGCGTGCATCGTCACAGCCGACCTGGCTGTCCGGCGGCCGGGACCAGAGTGGTGGTTCCCCGCACACGACACTTATGGGAGACGATCAATAAGCAACAAGGCAAATGGCACACAGCAGTGGGACGCGGACACTTCGGGGTGGCCTGAAGGAAACGGAAGCAGAGACCGTGGGTGGCCACAAGGGCAGGGAGCGGATGCCCATAAAAGAAACAAGAAGTGCAAAGACCATGAGGGGAGACAGGCTTTGGCTCTTCAAGAAACCAGCAAGCTGGCGGACAGGACAGAGTGCGGCAGAGGAAGGGAAACAGGAACAAAGACCAGTGTGCAGAACGCAGCTCCAGGTCATGGCCTGTTCTGTGCACAAACACAGGAGACTCGGTGTTCAGCGTGTGTCATCCGCCTCCTTTACCGGGGGCTGTGGTTTTGTGCACTCAGCCCAGGGCAGTGCCTGGCATGGAGCAGACCCAAGGTAAATGTTCGTTAATGAACTGCATGACATAATAAATGAATGAGAAGGCTTTGGAAAATTCTGAGTACGGCTATGGCAGGAACTGAATTTTAAACTTTTTATGAGAGAGGCGCCCAGCTGGCTCAGTCGGAAGAGTGTGCGACTCTTGACCTTGGGGCCGTGGGTTTAAGCCCCACATTGAGTGGAGAGATTACTTAAATAAACTCAAGCTTCTTTATGAGAAATTTCATACAAACCCAACTTTGTTTTTGATAAGTAAAGCAAACAGTGCCTATCTTCCCCATATACGTCCCCCGTCAGCTGCATTGCTGTCCATCTGGGCCAGTCTGGCTCCACATTTCCCACCTGCAACTCACAACCATGAGTTCTGTTCACACCCTGTTAGAAAGGCCTGGAGAGGACCTGGGATGACCCTGGGGTGGGCCTCGGGTAGTCCTGGCATGGACCTGGGGTGAGGTTGGGGTGAGGTTGGGGTGAGCCTGGGGTGGGCCTGGGGTGAGACTGGCACGGACCTGGGGTGGTCCTGGGGAGAGTCAGGGATGAACCTGGGGTGGGTCTGGGGTGGTCCTGGCATGAACCTGGGATGGGCCCAAGAGCGTGCACCTCTAACAGCCCCAGGCCCTACCACAGCTACTCTGGAGACCGCCCCCGAATGGCAAAGTCCTGGCATGCCGCCTCCAGGTACGTGTGCCGCACTGATCTACACGGAAGCCACGCGCTCGTAGGCGTCTGCACACACAGGCAGGAAGGGGGAAGACGGGCTGCTCATGTGCTCACAGAGCCATAGGGTTTTCAGAAATGCCGCACAGTGCAGGGAGGCTGAGTGCTGCGTTCTCCTGCCTGTGCCTCTGGGCAGAACGTCTGTTCATATCCTGGGTCGGCTCAGGACCCCCCGAAGCCTCCCCGAGGGTTCCCCACGTCTCCAGACACACGTGAGGATTCCCAGAAGCCAAGGAGTCCATGGGAGACAGCGCAAGCGAGCACTGCTTGATCCAGGCCCCCTTTAGGCCCTGACTACATGCTCCCCAGGAGACCCCACTGATGCCTGCATGTCCCATGCACAGAGTATCTGGGAAATGTTGCTCGGAGGGGGCGGGGGGATCCAGACGCAGCATTCTCTTGCTCTCAGGGACATCCACTGCCTCAGTCTCTCAGAGCGCTGGGGCTGCACACCTCACACCGGCTCGGTGTGCCTATGTCAGCTCTGTAGACAGGCACACGGCCTCACCCATCACTGACACCACTTGCTCTTTGTGGGGCGGGAACCCTGGTGGCCTTGTGAGCAAAGAAACAGGGGCCTCTCAGACCAAGTCTCAGCTCCGTGTCAAATGTCTGCCGCCACCCTGACCCGGGAAGCAGCCTCCTGCCATGACACAGGGAAATGCCGCCTGCACCCTCCCGCCCCCATCGGGGCATCGCCACCTACTGCTGGCGCCTGCCTGCTCAGACCGGAAGCGGCCCCCAAGAGACCAGGAAAGCAAGGTGGTGAGGAGCGGCACACCCGCCTCGGGTCACGCAGCTGCTGAAGGACAGAGCGAGATCCACAGGTCGGCCTGGCTGCCCGTAGGGGCCCCACAGTCGGCCTGATACCAGGGCTCCCCAGGCTCCCAGGCCTCCGGGGCCAAGCTGTTACTTAGGGTTTGTCATCTGCGGCCACGCAGGAACGAACAGGAGCGCTCACGGTTCTCAGGCCTGGAACAGGCCTACTGGAGGGAGGTGGCAAGCTCCAGGAGGCGGGCTGGCAGCCTTGAGCTGAGGGCGCGCACGTACCTCGGCAACGTCAGCCAGGGACCTGGACACAAACGAGTCTCTCGAGTTGCCGTCCAGCAGGCTGGGGCCCAGCAGGGAGGTGCCGCTCTGGGTCCCCGTGGGCGTCGGCAGCATCTTCCGGCTCTTCTCCGGGGAGATGAAGCTCGCTGCCGAGAGAAGACATTCTGAGACTGGCTAGCCCGGACGCGTCCATGGGGAGGAGCCGGGGGCTGCAGATGGCCCCGCCTTCCAGGCCCCTGCCCCCCGACGCTGGTGAGGACAGAGTCATTACACAGCATGTACTGAGCCTCGGAGAGCCCTCCGTGCGGTGTTCCATCTGGTCGTCACCCTCACCTCCACGTGAGACGCCTTCTACCTTTTCATAAACGTTTGACCTTGCAAGTCCCTGAGCTGTTCTCTGTGACCTTCATCATCAATGCTGCCGGCCTGGTACCACCATCGGTGGAGCCCCCGCCATTCGGGCCCACCAGGTGTGCTGCCCACATGCGTGCTGACCCTGCTCATCGTGTGTAAGATGATCCCCTTCTGGGGTCACCGGTTCCCTGACCACCTGCATGCCTGGCTGCTCTCTAAAGCACCAGGTGTGCGGATCCCTGAGATGCCACAGGCGCTCCTCCCGGGCAGACAACCGAGGCCGGTGTGGCTGTCCCTTCCAGCTCCTCCCACCCCACGGACACCGGGCTCCCAGGGAGGGGACCCATCCTGCAAACACTCTGGTCTTCAGAACATTCTGAGGATGGGGAGAGGAGACCAAGAGCCCCCGAGCCACATCCTACACCGCCGCTAATACCAAGGGCCGAAGGCCCGCGAGGCAGGAGCCCAGATAGCGGGCAGCCTGGGAGACTGAGACGTAGTGCACCCACCTCAGCCGGGCTGAGGGTCACACAGTGTCCACGTTCACCACGGCATGGTGACGTGCATGCTGGAGACCTCAGCAGTGCCCCTGCATAAGTGACACAGGATGAACCTCGAAAGAGGGTAGGAGTTCGAGTTCTGCCAGAGCACAGAAATGTCAGACTCGTCCCCTCCTGATGCGCCACGGGGACCCCACTGCTTGCCTGGAACCATGGCCCAGGCCCCTAGTCACTCACCAAACAGGCTGCTGAGCGACGAGTCTGTGGGGTCGCTGGGGCACCACTGGGGGTCGTGGGTGGGGGAGGCGATCCAGTCTGGCTGGGGGCTGCTGGCTGGGGACGGAAGGCTCTTGGAGCTGTCACTGCCATTCAGTTTTGCTGGAGAAAGAGGAACTCCCTCCCCTGTCAACCAAAGCCCCGGATCAGAGGTGCCACGGGGAGGGATAGCACCCCACTCCCCAACCTGCCACCAAGAAACAGCACAGCACAGCCAGGCACTGCTGAGCATGGAGACCCAGGGCCACGCAGGCCCCACGGAGGATAAACAATACCGGCCTGCGGGGGGTCCATGGTGGCAACCCCGTGCCCATCTTGGGCAACCATGACAGCTGTGGCTATGACAGATGGAGCCAGACCCTGTGCTAAGAGCCACGCCAACCCATCACCAGGGCCTACACCAGCCCGCGGAGGGGCACGCTTCCCAACTTCGCCGAGAAAAGGCACAAAGGTGCAAGCTAACTTCTGTGTGAATCTACAGCCCAAGTGGAGAGCAAGTGCTATCCAGAGAGCCAGGGGGGCCAGAGCCCCAAGGGTCCCAGTCCAATCTCCTCCTAGGAACGCACAACCTCAAGGTCTCCACCCGGATGCACAGTCAGCCAGAAAGAGGCCCCCTGTGAGCTGCGGGCTGCAGAGGCCTCGGGGGCTGGCTCTGCACGTCCACACCCCCTCCGCCCAGGCCCCCCTGCAGGCGGCAGACGGCCTACACCCAAGAGGGAACTCTGGACAGCGGCATGCCGTGTGCCCAGCAAGCGTGCAGATGCCTGGGCAGGCGGTCAGGCCCGGGCGGGACTGGTGAGGAGGGCACACGGCGCCCCGGCCCTCACCATACTGGCCGGAGCTGATGGCGATCTCGATGATAGAGTCGCTGATGTGCGTGGCGGGCTCGCCCTGTGACAGCACGTCCTCGGGCGGGCCGGGCAGGGAGATGTCCAACAGCGCAGAGACGTTGGGTGGGGACAGGCGGCCGCTGGAGCCCTCAGGCGCGGGCACAGGTGTGGGGAGGCCGTTGTGGAGAGGAGCCTTGGTCAGCTCAGATAAGGAGAGAACAGGTGAGCCCTGAGGGGAGACACAGTGGGTCCGTAAGGAACACGGAATGGAAAATCGGCCTCGGCCTCACGAGGCAGTGACTAAGTGACAGGTGGGTCTCCAGCAACCAGGATCCGAGCAGCCACTTTCTTCCCTGCGAGGAACACGCGCAGGGGATTCACTTCTGAAACCGCTCCAGGGATGGCAGCGCGGGACGGCCAGGCTGAGGTGACCGCCAGCATAGCTGGTAAACCGGGCAGAGGGGTGGTGTCGGGGAGCGCCACCCACCGACGGCCTCCTCCGCCTTGGCCCAGAACACTTAGTGCTTCTGGGGGTACGTCTGAAACGGCTCGCCTTGCGGAGGGGAAGGAGGAAGCCTGAGCGGGAGGGACGTGTGTTCATCTGCCTGGGCGAGGAGGTGGATGGACAAGCCGCCAGGCATCAAGGGCTGTGTGTCCTTGCACACCTCCAGGGGAGTGAGGCGAGGGTCGGCTGAAGACCATGGGGGCGGGGGTCTGGCCTGGGGATGGGGGTGGTCCCGGGGCAGGTGCTGGGCTCAGCAGCCAACAGCACACCCTACCTGGAAACTGTCGGCCACTGGCTCCTGCTCAGGCCTCGAGGGGACACTGACGAATGGGTCGCTGGCACCCTGTAAATCACCAGGACAGCCCGTGAGTCCCCTACCCACACGTGAGGTCCGTCTGCCAGTTCAGAGGGCAGGACAAGTCCCTACACAGCCCCGGCGGGCGGGAGTCGGAGGCCAGGCAGGGAGGCCCAGGGCCTGCTGCCGGCTGGCACGGCTGAAGCTCCTCTTCCAGCCAAGCGGCCTCCGCAGACAGAGCACCACGCCTGCTGTGGCCCCGACCCTGCCCCCCCGCATCACTGCCCCTACGGCCCCCCTCGGTGGCTCTCCCTCAGGACCGCACGATGCTCATCCACACCACGGCCTCCCTGGTTCAGGTACTGCCCTCGGGCCTCCCAGGGCCCGTCCACTCCTCAGGCAGAGCCAGGAGCCGGGCAGGACCCGGGCCCCGCGGCCTTGGTGCCCATACGTCCGGAAAGTGACCAGCCTCTCCCAGAAGCTGGAAGGGACTCGGAGCAGCCTTTCTAAACACACTCACCCCCACGGCGGGGACGGGGTCTGCGTTCTGGTGGGCACAGGTAGAGTCTGGACCCGGGACGGTAGAGGTCACCTCGTCTGAAGCCAGCGGAGCAATGCCAGACAAGCCCTCAGCGTCCAGGACAGGCAGGGGGCTCCCGGGGATGATGCCGGCACTTTTGGCTGCTAAGTCGATAGCACCTAACGGCACAAAGAACATTTCGAACCTCAGCTCCAGGGACGTCCTGACACGTGCCCCAGAGGCTCCCTCACACCTCGTTTCTGAGAAGGGCAAAGGCTCTCGTGTTGCCCTGAAGGGTGACAAGACACAGGGACTGGAGAGACGTGGGGACTGGGGGAGACGCGGGGGTTAGGGGAGACGCAGGGGCATGGGGGAGAAACGGGGACTGGAAAGATGCGGGGGTTGGGGGAGATGCAGGGGGTGGGGGACACACGGGGGCTGGGGGAGATGTAGGGGGGCGTTGGGGGAGAAGGGGCAGCTGGGGGAGATGCAGGGGCGGGGAGACGCGGGGGCTGGGGAGACACGAAGACAGAAATCTCACGCGGAGCCCGTCACGCTGGTGACAGGCACTTACTGGCCAGGTGGCCTGGGGCCTGGGGTGGAAGGGCCTTGGGCACAATCGGCCGAGACAGGGCTGCTTTGGTCAGGGAGGACTGGATGGGCCGGAACGAGCCCCTGCCTGTGAGGACATGAACGGGAACAGACGTGTTGGCTGGCGCCTTATGACCGCGCACAGGGGCCGCTGACAGAAGCCTCAGACAGAAGCCTCGCCTCCCAAACGCTTGCTGACGCGGTCGAGTCACAGGTCAGACGGGGACCTGATGGGAGAGAGCCTGGCTCCCGGGCCACAGAACCACCAAACTCCCCAGGCCATGGGACGGGCACAGTCCTACTGCCACCAGCGTGGGCCCAAAAGGGGCCGTGTGCCCCGCCGGACCTGACTTTCCCGGCAGCTGGGCTCCCCGCCGGAAGCGGCAGCTGAGCGGGAGTGAGGAGCCTCGACGCTGTGGCGTGTACCCGACACACGCGGATCGAGGATGGCTTGGAGGGTGCGTCACAGAGTGGGAGCTCCGCTCATGGTTCTCACCATGTAACAACGTGTCACTCAAAGAGCCTGGGCTCCTGTGCTTCCAGACCCGAGCCGCGTGCCGTGCACACACTGAAGTCACGCCTACCGGGGGCGGATGACAGATGCTCCCCGTACACACCCGAGCAGAGCCTCCAAGCCAGGGCCCCTGAGCCCACCTTTGAAGCGAGCTGCCCGCACCCCACCCGCCAGGGGTCCACGCCCGCCACTGTGTGGCCCCCGTCCACACAGGGGCAAACTTGGTGTCTGTGGACAGGACAGACAGAGGAGTGCTGGGAAGGTCCCGCCAGGAGCAAATGGCACAAACGTTCACCGTTCCCAAAGCCAAGGCCGTGCGCTGCCAGGAGCGAGGCGTGAGTGCTCACCGGTTATGGACGAGTTGGACAGGATGGAGAAGGAGCAGACGTTGTGGGACTGGTTTTCAGAGGGCCGGGGAAGCAGCGTTCTCTGTGGGGGGGAAGAGGACCAGTGCTCAGGCGGGGGACAGGCCCTTAGGAAACGACGATGGGCTGGGGGACACTCCGGATAAGAGGGGGCTCTGGAGCATAGAGCTGGTGGCACGAGGGCACCCCGGACAGCCTGAGGACAGCTGTGTCCACGGACCCCGGGCCCCCAGACGCTGGAGCCTCTTGGGAGAGACCCCCGGGGAGTGATGCCAGGACGGCCCACCGCTAACCCAGAGGCCCCCAGTCCCGCACATCTGCTCGTGGGCACCGGAGACACAGCCCAGATCTGTGACTCCTCACGTCTGTGGCCAAGAAAATATAGGGATTCCTCTTGACGCAGGAGCCTGAGCCACTCTGCCCACCCCTCCCTGCTCCCTGGCCCAGGTCTCCTGGGTATAATTAAGTGCCGGCTAGACTTCTACCACCCAGTAGGAGAGTGTGGGAACGCGTGAAACCGTCAGTCACTGAAGTAAGACGTGAACAGATGTTTCCGGCTCCGGGTGCACCTGAGCATTCTCCGCTGATGTTCAAGGGATGTCTCCTTGCCCCGCAGAGGCTCCCCAAGGCGCCGGGCACAGAGCAGAGAGAAGGTGGGTGCTACCAGGCTCACAGAGGGGGCAGGAAATGCCGGGGCTCCTGCGGCCCCTCCCGTCCACCCTGGGCATGTGACAGCAGCCTGGATGGTAGGAGACTGAAAGCCCAGGGCTGGGTGCCAACGACACCTACTCTGAAACCGGTAAACGCAGAGACCACACACTGCGGGTGGTTCCATGCACGTGAAACACTCAAGAAAGTAAGTCCACAGAGACACAAAGTGGGCTGGTGGCGGTAGTGGCTGCCAGCATCTGGACGGAAGGGGCAATTAAGGGAATGTGGAAATGTTCCGGGACCAGAGGGCGGCGGTGGGCACACGGCCCTGCGAATGCACTGCAAACGCTGACCGGTACCCACCAGACTGGACGCCGTGTTAACCACGAATCAATGACACTGTTACAAAACTAAGCAAAGGAGCACCCCCGAGGCCGTGCAGGTCTGCGGTCGGGGACAGGCTTCCACGAGCCAGAGGGCACTCTCCCGCTTCCCCGGGCCAGGACTCGGGCCGCCGCGCACGCGGGACCTGGATACAACCTCCTCCCGTCTCCACGGGGGACGTGTCCCAAGACCCCGAAGCCTCCGAGTGCAGATGCTGTCAAACCCCACGCGTGTTAGTTTCTTCTGTGCAGACGCGCCCGTGACCAACTTTGTGAGTGAGGCGTGGTAATTCGTCACCCCCACCACCACACCAGGTACCAGCCAACCAGCTCGGTGACAACACCGTAACAGGGACACAAAGGATGTCGGTGCACCACACAGACGCCTGTGCCTCATCCCGTCGCCCGCATGAGGAAGCGGGTGAGGTGAGCAGCGCAGGGATGGGACGTGGCGCGAGGCTCCTGCTGTCCTTCTGACGAGCTGTCAGGGAGCGTCTGCTCCCTGCTACCCCGGGTACGATCCGCGGCTGGGGGGCCGCCGGACACCCCGCTCGGCTTCAGCCCCACCGCGCAAGCTCACTGCTAAATGAGTTCATCTCAAGACAGGAAGAGGTTTGGAGGAGCCTATCGACAGCACCAACAGACACCTACGCGTTCCCTCTAAAATAACACATGTTTCCTCGATGTCCTTGCAGAGTTCCAGCCTCACCCCTTTCATCCTACCTGCGCACACCAACACCCCTGCTGTCGCGGGCTCTCCAGCTCTGGCTGTGCCCTCGGGGCTGGACGTGGCTCCCGCGGGGTCCGGAGAGCCCTGGCCTCTGGCCGCTCCCCCCTACCTTGCTGACTGCTTCTGCTGACTACATATAAACAGACGTCCCGAGAACCTCGACGTAACCCCACAAGGGACATTCGTGGGACTCGAATTCCCACAACTTCCCGTTTTTTTTTTCCCCAGGGTCTTCACGCTACGTGAAGAGTATTATTACTTCAGAGTACCGTCAGAGCCCCGGCTCCTACTCCGTCTCGTGTGCAGGAAGGAAGGAGGGGGCAAGGGACTCCCTGTCTCACAGGGGGACCTGCGGGAAGGTCGAGGGGCGGGAGGGCGCCCTGACCTGGACCACCAATGGCTTCCTCAGGTGCCGGTTCCGCAATTTCCTGGGCTTCGGCAGGAAGAAATCCGACTGCATCTGCAAGGAGACAGCACTGGGCCTGAGAGCGAGCCCCTGGGGCCCCTGGATGTGCCCCCCCCAACCCCGCTGGCAGGGCGCCAACCCCGCTTACGCTGATGGAGTTCAGGTGCTGGCGGAACGTCAGTTCTGTCTCCTTACTGGGAGAGTAGAGCTTGCCGTGTCGGCTGTTGGGTGGCAAAGTAGTGGGGACGGCGAAAAGGCCACCGTCTGAGTCACTGCTGCCCGTGCTCGAGGGTCCAGCCACCAACAGGGGTCTCGGCGGGTTTCTGAGACCTGGAGGCCAAGGAGAGCAGCACAGCCGTCACCCAGCAGCGCCCCCGGCACGAGCGGACGGTCGCAGGAAGAACACCGGAAAGGAACTCGGGATGACTGCTCTGCTGTCAGGCCCCAAACCCGCCTTCCTGTCTTCTCCCGGGAACTCTAGCTCCTGCTGGGTGAGCTCCTGGCCCGCGCTGGGAAAGGCGCTCTGCCACTTTCCTCTCCAGCACCAAGTGCAGACAGGCCTTCAAAGACATTTCAGAGCTGGAAGAACCTTCCAGACCATCTTGCATAGACAAGAGGTCAGCAAGCTTTCTCTATAAAAGGCCAGAAAGTAACTGCCAGTTTGGACGGCCGTGCAGTTCTGCCGCCGCGGCGTCCAGAGCCGGCCCCCAGTCTTCGCCCTCAGTGCCTGTCACACGCAACAGCCCGTCATAAAAGGACAGAAGACATTTATTCAGGAACACTCCTTTGGGACGCTGCTGTCTCCCGCATACACCCTTGCTTCACGGTGGGGATGGGTCCCCTTCCCTTCGGTTATCATAGATCTTTAAGATTCAACGCCTACTCGTGCCGTCCAGAGACAGGCCCTCTACGCGCCAGTCTGGGCTCTGGCACTGCGCGTGCAGCAGGCTAGAGGCATCCTCAATTCGGAAAGAGAAGGCATGTCCAAGACTGCGCTGAATTGTGCAATTGTAAAAACAGAGCGGAAGGTAGAAGACCACACCATCCAGCGGCCAGGCCCAGCACGGACTCCTGTGCATCCATCTGCCAGGCCACCAGATCCGCCTTAGGTCACCCAGAGGCCACCACGTGGTGCTCTCGGTTCAAGAGGCAAGCTATTCCCCACACAGAGAAATCACAAAGCGAGTGCCACGCTCAGAACGTTCTCAGAAAACAGTCCTAGAGAACCACTAACACACGGGACACCAGGACACTCTGTCCGGCCACGAAGTCCCCACACCCACGTGGGCAGATTAGAACAAGGCATGGGGCCGCTTCCTGTCCAAGGCATGTGGTCGTCATGCAGAGACCCCAGCTGGTGTGGGGTGTTCATGACGTCCGGGACAGCCGAGGTTCTGTGGCAAGGGCACCCACCTACGGGGACCATTACAACACCCTGCACGCCTGGCGAGGATGCACAGGACGTGCCGGGCCTCAACACCTGTTGTCCCAGGTACAAGGTAGCCCAGGTCGTCGACCCTGAATTTCAGCTGCCCCGCAGCTACGGCAGGGACAGAGACACAGCGCAGGCCAGTATTAAACTGATCGGGAAGCCCTTAACCTGACAGTTTAACACCTTTAAGATAAGGGAAAGAGGCCCCTCTATGGATTGCTGCCCCCAGTTCGGCATGTTACAGCGGCTTCCGCTGACCTCCCAGAAATCCCACAGAGTGACGTAACTGGCAGGGCCGGCCCACGTTTCCCACGGGCTCCGGCACCGCAGGGCCTCAGAGCCTCACGTGCCAGGCCCTGCGCTCTCTGTCCCCGCGAGGGGAGGGGGTTTCTGCTCTAACAGCTGGCCGGGCCGGGCCGGGGGGCCAGGAGTCAGGCATGTCCGCACCCAGGGCTCTGGGCCGCCCGCACACCAAGGAGGGCAGCTGGGACGGACGGCCTCACCTGAGGAGCAAGGCGTGGCGCTCGGAGGGAAGGCCTTGCTGCTGCGCAGGGCAGACTGGCTGCGCGGGCAGCGGGGACTCCGGGAGCTGACGGCCACCACCTTCCCCGGCGGGGTAGCAGACTGCTGCTCCTCCTGGGCGGGCCTCGTTGCAGCCGTGGAGCCGACGTTCCCTTCTGGAGCCTGGGACAGAAATGGGCCACCAGAGTGGCCAAACAGCCCGTGGACAATGGCTCTGGGATGGGTGCCCCGGGCAGGATGCAGGAGAACGCCCTCAAGCTTGGAGGGACACTAGCGGGCTCAGAAACCACACATCCACGACGGCAAAGGTCAGCGTCCCCAAATCACATGGCAGCACCCCACTTTTAAAACCCCCGGATGGGCAGGCCCTCGGGGACACAACCATTCCCCCTCCTGGCTTTGCTGCATGGAGGTGACACAGATGGGCCACCCCATCATGCGGTGACAGGGGGTGGGACGGCGTGAAGGCAGCGCGCTGCTGCAGAGAGCTGCTTGATGGCTGGTAGTACTAACCGGACGTTTTAAAAGGCCCTCCTGAGGGGAAGGCCCTGGCCTGTCCTGGTCCTGAGTCAGAGGACGCGGTTTCTACAGTTAGACATGCTCACGGCCGAAGAGCCCCGTGCGGACCCGGGTGCCAACCTCGGGGTTCCGCAGGTGTGGGCGTGGGCTGCTGCTGAGCCGCAGGGGCCCCACCATGGAGACACCCCCCTTGACCCCGCCTCAGGACTCACTCTGGTGACTTCCTCCCCCATCTTTCCCAGGGCCCACCCCCAGGGCCCTCCGGGTCCAGTTTCCTGTGAATTAGAGAACCCCATCCCCCACCGTCAGCACAGCCTTACCCGAGCTGCTTGCTCAGTGACCCTGTGTCTTCCTGTGCCCCACGCCCACCCCCACAGCCCTCACCCACCTTTTCCTGTGGGACCTACCCTCTCTGTCCCCTCCTATGTGGCTTATTTAGTGCCACGATCCAACCACCCAACTGCACGCCCAGCAGCTTCCGATAGAGGTCCTGGCTGTCGAGGGCCTGGGCATCCCCTGTACTTGCTCACAGGCCCAGGCAGTCGGGTCGTTCATTCAAGGTCTCCAAGCTCAGCTCTGGCCTCTACCCCACTGGGTTCTCACAACCGAGCCGCATCAGAACCACCTGGGGTCTGGGGGTGCGGACATGGTCTCTGGGCCGCGAGCACGTGCGTCTCCCACAAGTCTCCACAAAGAGATGCAGAGATGCTGCTGGGGCCCCACCCTGGGGCCGTGGGCCTGAGCACCGGCTCTGAGTTCTCTGCAGTGTTTCCAAGCTGCTCCACCCTCCTCTCCCAGCCACGGCCAAGGTCAGTACCCACGTCCCCAGCTGCCCCAGGCTTCTCAGGGGCTGGCTCCGCTTGGCACCTTCCCCAAGGTGCTGGACATGCTCCTGTCTCCCCACGATCCTGTGTCCTCCAAAACCCCAACTTGAAATCGCTTTCTAAATCCCTCATTTCCGTCCAGTTACCCAAACACTGCCCCTGCCTGCCCAAGGGTCACTGGCCTCCACACCACTAAACCTAAAGGCCGCTGCTTACCCTCGGGCCTCACCCGCGCAGCCTCTGCAGGGTCTCTGCGGGGTGCGGCCAGTCCCCACCAGCTCTGCAAGAGCCATCTCCCCCCTGGCACCGGTATGGATCCGCGCATGTGCTAACGGAGCACCTCCCTGAGGCAAAGGCCTTACAGGGTATAGGGACGCAGCCAGGTTGGGGGGTGGTGAGGGAGGAGGGTGGAGAGAAGCTCTACAGGAGGTTCACGGAGGGCCACCTGCCCGGGAGAAGCAGAAGGTGTGACTCGGCGCTGAAGGGTCCACAGGGACCCCAGTCCCCTTGTGTCCAGAAGCTCCACTACCTCCCGGCCACCTTGGCCTCCAGGGATTCGCGAACCCCCACTACCCGCACGGAGCCCACACAGCAAATCAGGAGCCCCCGCAGCAGACCCTGTTCTCCGTGCCCAGGGGAGCCCACTGGACTTTCTCGTCGGTGGCACCTTGCCCCCACCCGTCTCTGCTGACTGGGCCCAGGGAGGGGGTCTCAGCCACTCCCCTGGCTTTGGGGGCACCCACCACAGAGCCTCCCGAGGGGCCCCGGAGCCCTCACCCTGCCTCCTGGACCGCAGCAGCTGCCTGGGTGCAGCCAGCACCCTGTCCGTCCTCGCCCCTCTCCCTCCTCTGAGGCTGGGCCACGGTCCTCCAGGACCGCGGAAACTGCCAACATTCCTGACCGCAGCTGAAGCCCATCCCCGCGGGCCCCTGGACGTGGCTGCCGCGTCGCCGTCCCCTCGGCCCGCACGCGAGGGCTCTGCGTCATCGCTGCAGCCTGGCAGGGCACGGCGGTCGGGGGCTGTGCCGGCAGCACAGCAGGGGCCTGCTCTGCGACACCCCTGGCCTCCGGGTCCCTGCGCCGTCCCCCCCGCTGGGCCCGGGGCGCACTCACCGGCCTGGGGTTGACCTCAGTGGAGATGAGCTTCAAGAGGCAGCTGAGCAGGCGCTGCTTGTGAAAGGTGGGTGGCGGGGAGCCGCTGCCACGGGGACCCTGCGCCTGCCCCCCGGAGGCCTGGCCCTCGGGGCCCAGCACGGCCAGCCAGTCGTACTCGAGCTGCAGCTTGTTCGGCTTGCCCATCATGAGGTAGACTTCAGCCAGCGTGAGGCTCTCGGAGGTCTGCAGGCTCCAGCCCTCCTCTCGGAGCTGCTGCGCGAGCCGGCCGGCGGGGACGTCCCTCGGGGGCTTGGCGGCAGGCTGGCCCTGGGGCAGGGGCTCCTCCACGGGTGCATCTGCCGCGTCTTTAGTGCAAACATCTGGCTGGAGCCCGGGGCTGGGCTGAGGCTCTGGCCCCGAGGGCGCCCGGACGGGGGAGGGGGCCCCGGCGCGGGCGAGGTCCGGAGCCTCCGCGCCGCCGGGGCCGCGAGCCTCTGGGGAGGCGCACCCCGGGGGCCGCGAGTCCGCGCACCGGCACTGCTCGGGGATGATGAGGTCCTGGCAGGACTTCATGTAGCGGGGAAAGGGGTCAAGGAGGGAGAGCTCGTCCTCCAGCTCTGGGAGCCGGCCGCAGGTGCACGGCGCGCCCCCGGGCTCTCGGGCGGGGCCGTCTGCAGGACCGGCAGCGGGGGTCTTCTCCTGGAGCCTGTCGGGCGGGTCTAGGCCACTAAGGCTTGCAGCGGCCCCCTCCCCGGGGGCACTTTCAGGGGAACTCTCTCCAGAGCTCTGCGACGCGTCGGTGGACGGAGGGGGACGTCCCGGGCCCTTGCCCTCAGCGCCACCCCGGGGACACTTCACCTGACCCCTGGCTGTGCCCTGGCCGCTCTGGATGCCCAGGATCTGCGCCGGAGGCAACGTGTGGGTGTCCCTGGCACTCTGCCTGCACCGGCCGCCCTCCTGCCAGTGCACCGTGCAGAAGGCTTTGGAGTGCACCACGCGGGCCACGCCCGGCAGCGGCGTGAGCGTGCAGCTCTCCCCAGGGAACAGGTGCAGCGCCACCTTCTCCTGCGCGGGCGCGGCGAGCGAGTGTTGCAGCTGCCGGTCCTCTAGCGTCTTCCGCTGTCAGGGAGGTCAAGGAGCAGCCGCAGCAGCAGGCCCCGCGCTGCCTGGCACACAGCACCGCCCGTGCCTCCTCCCTCACGGACCACGCGCCCAACAACCTCCGCCGGCCAGGGCGGTCACGGACACAGGGTGTCTTGGGCCGTCCTTACCGTCCTGCTCAGCCCGCTGGCGGGGACGCTTTGCATGCCCCCTTACCCCAGGCACGTGGGCCAGACACCTGAGCCCAAGGACAAGTGGCTGCAGGGTTAGCTCCAGCTCTACGCCACCCCGCGGGCCCACTGCACTCTCGGGCCAGAGAAGCGAGACCCCATCCTCGGGCAGCAGCGGCTGCGGAGCTTGGGCGAGTTTGCTCTAGCGGGAAAAGGATACAATCCGCACTTCGTGGAGCGCCCACTTCTGTTTCAAGAATTCGATGAGGCTGGAGACCTTCCGGTGCAGCTCCACGATCATCCTACAGAGAAACCACGGGTGGGACAAGGTGGCCATTACACAGAAGGGGACTCTCTGAAGGGTAGGGCGAGGCCGAGGCAGCAAGGTGAGGACATGTGATTGCAGAAGGGGCATCAAAGGAAGGGCCGAGGCCACGGTCCCCAAGCAGGCCACACACTCCTTTTCTTAAAAACGAACCGTTTAAACTGAAATAACTACAAACTCACATGAAACTGTTTAAAAAAAAAGCGATTCCCCCGTGCCCTTTACACACAGAACAAGATCTCCATCAGGACACGGGCTGTGGTATGAGCCACCATTCTACTCTGTTAGCGCCTTTTGGGTCCAGGAAGTGTGGCCTGACCAGCCTTAATCAATACCAAGAAAATTTAAAACAAGGAAACAACGAGGTCCAGACACAAATGAACCTCAAAACAGTCCCGTTCCCAGGGAGCACCTGGGTGGCTCACTCGGTAAAGTGTCCAACTTTGGCTCAGGTCATGATGTCACTGTCACGAATTTGAACCCTACATCGGGCTCTTTGCTGACACAGCTCAGAGCCTGGAGCTTGCTTCAGATTCTGCATCTCCCTCACTCCGCCACTCCCCCTCTGTTCTCTCTCTCTCAAAATTAAGCAAACATTTAAAAAAATTTTTAAATTAAAAAAAAAAAAAAAGTCCCAATCCTTGAAAAAAGCCAGACTGAAAACCAAGTGGGGCCCATTCTCTTTAGTGAACTATCCCCAACAGGCAAATCTAGAGACAGACAACAGATGGGCAATGGCTGGAGGCCACTGTTGAGGGCAGTTTGGTTGAAAGGCCTCCTTCTGGGGTAACGAAATGTTCTGGAGCGAGACAGGAGATCCTCGTACAACACCGTGGGAAGGTCCTCAAGGCCCTGGAGTCAGACACGTTCAGGTGACTGACGGTTAATTCTATGTTATGAGAAATTTGCCTCAAACAAAAAAGAGGCGTAAACGGAAGACGGTTCACATCCAGAGCGTGCCCTGCACGTGTCCGGGGAGATGGTGAGAGAGGAGCGGAAAGGGGTTCGGAGGGAAAACATGACAGAAAGGCTCTGAGGCCTTTGACCTGCAAACCACATCACCCTGCACCCCGTGCTTGGCCCGCAAGCACCTGCCTGCGTGGGACCCCTGGGTCGGAGGGCTGCGGTGAGCGCACGTGGAGCCAGAGAGCGCGAAGGCCTGTTTGGAGCACAGGGGGAGCCCAGCTGCCCCCCGCGGAGGCCAAAGGCCACATTACCTGAGCCTCGGGTTCTGGGCCAGGCTCTGGACCCGGGCCCAGGCGTGGTTGTTCCTCGGCTGCAGCTCCACAGGGACTTTCAGGGGCAGGCGCACCGGCTTCTGGTCCTCGTCGTCACTCAAGCCTATGACAGGAGGGGCCATGAAAGCCAGGCACACAGACATAAGCGCAAAACACGAAGAGGCACTCCGGGCAGATGGCCCCGAGAGGGAGAGCAAGGCTGACGCGAGGCTCTGCGCTCTGAAGGAGGGCTGTGACATGGCCACTGGTGCATCTGTGAGCCAGGGCCACGGGCCAGGACGCAACGGGAAATGAGAGAGCTGCCTGCGACACCGGCTGCCACCTCGTCCGAACTAGCGGGGCTGCTGAGCCTGATTTCCTATGCGGAGGCACTGCCGTGACAAGGGGTTTCAAGTGCAGGGGCAGCCAACCCGCGGCACCACACTCAGCAGACTCGGAGCAGGCATGAGACGCACCTGCGACTCGGCCAGTCCATCGTGAGCCCGCGCGGGCCCCTCCCCACATCCGTGTTCACGTACCGTCCGGGTCACAGAGCTTCTTCAGGGCTCGGCACATAGGCGCTTTGATCCTCAGGTTTCTCCCTTTGTAGCGCACGGTGGTGGCCCTGCGGACGGAGTTTCATGGGAACAGTGAAGCCTCTACGTGACCAGCTGCTCCCTGCCCAGCACACACAGGGCCAGCGCGCCCAGCACACACAGAGCTTGGACAGATGAGAGTCCCATGAAGCTGCGACGGTCCACGGCGAGACCTCGTCACGACCCTGGCGGTCCGGCTCTGCTCCTGCTCCAGCCTCACACTGCAGAGGACACCTGCCCGCCCTCTGGCCTGGTGACTGGCGTGGCGCCACCTGCTGTCTGTCCCCTGCATCCACTTCACAGGAGCCCCCATCAGACATCAAATGCATGCCCTTCTCTCCTCCCCTTCCACCTCGGGAGCCCTTCGAGAGAAGGTCTGAAGCCCCCCTCGTGGTGAGCACCATCCTAAACCATAGCAGCGGCGCCCAGGGAGTCTGGGCCCCTTGCAGCCGGCAGGCACAGTGCCACTTGCTCGTGCTCTCCAGAACTGAGCTGCGGGCAGGCCCAGACTGTCACGGCTGTGGGTGACACTTCATCTGGACACTGCTTCAGCCAGGATTTATATAATGTCCAAGTGACCCAAATTAAAGTAACTCCACATAACCAATGAATACAAAAGTCATAAAAGCTCCATTCAAAAAGCACACTTAGAACGCTTCGGAAATAATAAAGGCTGGTTGCTTTGCGAAGCGGCAGTGAAGTCACGCACAGGCAAGACCACTCCAAAGGCGCCACAGGGCCACCGCCCTGGGCCCTGCTGCTCTCACTCCGCCTCTGCTAAGTCACAAAGGATGCGTGTCGCCTGCAGCTGCCATACCCATCACGGATCTCCGGGATGAGCCACCCGGTGCCAGGGAACGAATGAGGTTTTCATTTTGGAAAATTGGTCAAGGTCAGTGTATACCGTTTACCACTGTGTGTCAACCAGTTTTTCGAACGCTGGCCGGCTGAGACCCCCTCCAGGAGAGCTGGGCTGCCCCTGCCAATTCATTTCTAAGAAAACCTCAGAGAAGAAGTTACAGAACGCACAAGGATGTGAAAAAAAGTGAGAGTTCTATCCATACTTGCTTAGCACAGGACACACGCGGCATTTGTGTGCACCGTTACTTTTGGAGAGTGAGGTGGGGCGGGGGCTGGGGGTGCACTGCTGTAGTACACTGAGGTTTGTACCATTTGACGTTTTTACGAGACTGTATCACTACCTCACTCAGATAACTTTACAAAGTATCTCCCGGAAACAATACTGCCTGAAACTGGAGCTCAGAAGGCCAAGGGTGCCCCGCAGCGGAGGCCTGCCCACGGCACAGTATGTCCCAGCCTCCTCTCTGAAAACAAGGCCACACGGCCCTCCTCTTTGGAAGGAAAGACGCTTGCATTTCCAACATGCGTCCCCGAAAGGGTAGATGTCACCACTGGCCCCCGTGAATGTTTCTGAGGCCAAGCAGGAGGTGACATGTGGGGCCAGGGCTGACAGCCGCGGGCAACCCGCTCACTCACAGGGATTCCAGCAGCAACACATCCGCAGGAGCCGCCGCTGCGCGCACCCAGCGGTGCCGGGAATCAGACGCGGGACGCCGAGAGCGGCACGGAGGTACAGGCAGGCTGCCCAGAGACCAGGGGACCCCGGGAGGCCTGCTCCCCTCACGGGTCAGGTGGCACGATTCAGAGGACGGCGTTGATGCGGAACGTGCACCTCGCTCTACTAAGACCAAACGCTTGCAGCGCAATGATCTCAGTTTGGGAAACAGACGTGTTCCAGACTGACTCGGTCCCTGCCTGGCTGCAGTGACAGGGGTGGCTCTGGGGCTGGCGGGCCTCTCTGAGCCAGGCCAACAACACAGAGTGGGAGAGGCCGTGCTGTGAGGCACCTGCGTTTGCGATAATCATATTTTCCGTTAAACTGTTTCCTGACTTCCTTTTTTTTTTTTTTTTAAAGTGAAATTGAGCAGCCCTCTGGTATGACCAGAAAACATTCTGAGATTACAATCCGTCTGTTTCTCTCAAATAGAAATTCTATGAGTGGCCTGAAGCCAGAGACTGTGGGGCAAAGCCATGCTGGAGCTCAGCTCTGGGAGGGAAGGTGGCTGCGCCCCCAGGGCACGGGCAGCTGCGAAAGACTCACAATGTGACCTCGGACAGAGAAAGCTTCACACGGAGGGCTCCGTGCACACGCCCACTGTTGCTGGTTTGACACAACAGGCAACAAGTTAATTCCTCTACGTGCAATGCACAGGGGCCTGGCTTTCCTGTCTGCAGAATCACATGACGAGTCTGTGCTGCCCGCCCGTGAGCATCCCAGGGGAGGGGACCCCGGAGCTCCCGTCGGGCCGTTTGCTCCAGAGTCCCACAGCTGCTAACACAAGGACATCCACAGGTCACCGAGCACGGCTGCGTGAGAGGCCTGCACGGGAAGGTACTTAAATAAATGCTCCACGAGTTACGGCCTTACAGGAAGCCGCAGTTCTCGGCACACTGGACTGACCGTCCCCACCCGCTTCACCTGTCGGGGCCGCTCGCGCTGGTCGTGGGAAGCAGGGTGTGCGGCTGGGGGAAGGGACACACCAGGCAGCGGGACGGAGGGAAACCTGGAGTCAGACCCACACAGCAGACCCGCAGGCTTTACACGAGGGTGCAGAAGCGCCAAGGGAGGAAGGACAGCACTCCCAACGGACGGCGCTGGAGTGAGTGGACACACACAGGCTGAAACCGACCCCGCGTGAACCGCACGCCACACGTCACGGACCGAAATTTCCAACCACACGACTCGCACACAAAGACGCGCAGCAGCGTGACTTTCGGGCACACAAAGTCCTCGGAGGAGACCAAGATCGCGGCCCCAACACGGAGGTGGCAGACGGCGCCTCAGCGGGACTGGCTGCCACGAAAGCGGGACAAGCCGTGGACCAGGGGAAATTTTGCCCGTTGCCTATGCAACACCAAACTCACGTCTGGGAGGAGGGAAACAAAGGGAAGAAAATGCAGTTTCCGTTAAACCTCTTTACCGCCCGCAGCCCCAACACTAGGATCCTGCACAGCGTGACCTTCCTGGCCTCACCTTACCACGACAGCAGCGAGCCCCTCAAGGTCCTGAAAGCCTTGCTTCCAAATCCCTTAGAGACTCGGGCTGCCCCCCACCCCCACTAACCTAAAAGTACCTACTCAGCCACTCCTCACAACCCAGTGCCGCTCTTCCTGCCTCACGGGTCCTGTCCTGCTTTAATAAAATCACTTTTTGCACCCAAGAGGTCTCAAGAATTCTTTCCAAGCTATTTGCTCATGAACCCCATCGGACGACACGTTAGCAACTCTCTAAACTCAGTGATAAGGAAACAGGCACAAGATCTGAGCAAGCCCGTCACCAGAGACAGACAAGCACCAGATGCTCAACATGGTCAGTCACCAGGGAAACGTACACCACCACCACCAGGAAATGCCGCTGTGGCCCATGAGGACGGCTCTGAATGGCGTGAAGGCGGAGCGTGCAGGGTGGGGGCAGCACCTGGGACATCCCTGGAGGGTGGCACAGGCCCACCTGTGGACCAGCCCGGGTGACCCGGAACACATACTCACCGGCGGACAGACCGAGGGACGGCCACGATGGGGACGCTGCTCTGCAGGAAAAGGCACGAACTATGGACTCACAGGGACAGAACTCAAGAGGACACAGCTGAGTGAACGTCGCCAACCTCCGAAGGCCACACGTGGCATGACCCCATCTGGATGGCATTCTGGGAAAGGCAGGACCATGGGGGACAGAGAGCAGCTGAGGGGCTGCTGGGGCTGAGCACGGGGGGCGGCCATGAGGAGGTCCGGGGGTGACAGCACCCCCGTATCTGGATGGGGGTGGCATTCAACTCCGTGCACCATTTAGAACTCAGAACAGTAAGTGAAAGAAGCCAGTTTGAGAAGAACGTCGGCCGTGCAACACCAACTCAGCGGTGTTCTAGAAAAGGCGGCTGTGCAGACAGTCTGGGTGGGAGGTCACGGGGGGCCAGGAGGAGGGGAATGATGGGTGGGGTACGGGGGACATTCGGGGCGGTGGCACGACTCTGCAGGACCCCGGACCAGCACCTCAGGTCACCGCACATCTCGCTGCTGTTTCTGCGCTATCGTGAGACACACGCTGAAGACACCTGCCCAGACCCAAGCACCGAGAGCGGCATGCGCCACGGGTCGCAGGTGAGCCTGCGGTCCAGCAGGGGAGGACACATCAAAACACGACAGAACAAGTAACACCCCTGCGCGCGCCGGGGCCGCCCTCTCCGTCGCCCAGAGCCGGTGCAGGTGAGCGCACGCTGTGGACACACTCTTGCCCCGGTGAAGCTCGGTGAGGGTACGCAGCTGCCTGCCGCACCGCGGTCTCAACCTTTCTGATAGTTGACCTCTTTCATAATGAAATCTCCTGGAAGATTAAGAGTGACCATCTTGCTTCTCAGACACAGAGAAGTTTGGTGTCTAACACTCGTGTATCCAGGCAGACAAAGCAGCTGGTGGCACCTGGCGTCAACGAGCTTCTCTGCCTGGGATCTGCAGTGGGGGGCATGGCGGGGACACCCCCGGAACCCGGGCTGACTGGTCAGGGGCCGGACAGGTGAGCACCCGGGGCACCGATGGAGTGCCGTGCTGACCAGTCACCATGAAAGACGCAGGACATCCAGGCCTCACGGAGTCCCAGGGCTGGGGAGGGGCCTCGCAGTTCACAGCTGAGGGATGAGCAAGAGCCTGTCACTGAGGGCAGAGGGAGCGTCCCGGATGGGGCGGCAGAAGGAAACAGCAGTCAGACACCCGAATCCCAATGAGGCGTGCAGCGGCCACCCACAGCGGTGTTCCGGCGACTCTCCAGAGCGCCCACCCTGGCAACAGACACGGTGACGGGGCCTGGAGGAGGGCGGAGGCAGGAGCCAGGATCCACACCTTGTGCTCAACCTCCTGGAGCCCAGGGCCTCGCAAGATCCACACTGGAGCTGCCTCCTACCCGTCCCGGACCCCTGAGGTCTCAGGGCCAGCACGGGGTGGGTAGGGGTCCCTCCCTCACCCCACAGCCCTCCAAGGGCTCCTAGACGGTTCTACCACCAGGCAGCAACAGCACCCACGCTTGATGAGGCCCAGCCAAGGCTGAAGCCACAAATGTTATATTTTTGCTGCCAGAAATACAGACAGATGCATTTTTATAAACGTGGTTCCAAAGAGCAAGTGTAGTAATAGCAGATTAAAGCTAATAAAAAAGAACACCTTTCCCCAATGTGGAACTTTTCTAAACAGACAAAAGCACTCTCGTTAATGATTCAAATAATAAAAGACACCTGTGAAGTCAAGAACAGGGCATCCCACCACCTGGGTGGCTCAGCTGATTAAGCATCTGACTTCGGTTCAGGTCATGATCTCACGGCTCCTGAGTTCTAGCCCCGAGTCAGACTCTGTGCTGACAGCTCAGAGCCTGGAGCCTGCTTTGGATTCTGTGTCTCCCTCTCTCTCTGCCCCTCCTCTGCTCACAATCTCTCTCTCTCTCAAAAATAAACAATAAAAAAAAACAAAAACAGAAAACAGGAGCGCCTCTTGCATCTACCACCTGAAGAGACCCCGGTGTGAGGTGGAAGCCACACACTGAGCCACCCCACTGCAGCCCCGCACGCAACCCACGTCACTTCCAAACACAAAGAACACAGGCCCCAGGTCCCGCCCAGGAACTGGTCTCTCTGTGTCGCCCCTTCGCTATCAAGAGCGAATCTGAGATGTTACCAGGGTGGCTCACCACTGATCTGACCACTCCCTAGAGGTGGGGCTGTGGGGTCAGAGGCCGCAGACAGGTCTCCCGCTGTCTGCAAACACCACTGTGGGCACCCCTGCCGCCAGCCAAAGCTCTGACACCTGTGTGCCCACGCCCACCACTATGAACAGTGCCTGTCTGTCCGCTTCCTTCCTACCCTGAGCAGAGGGCGGTGGTACAAGGCGGGTCCTGGGGAGGTGGGTTGTAAACACTGATCCCCCTTCTTCATCTGGGTGGAGTCACAGCAAACTGGCACTCATAGGGCTGAGCAGGAAGGAGGCTCCAAGGGCGTCCCTGCAGCGAGTCCCCCCCAGTGGGTGCAGGAAGGAGCTGCAGTGTGACTCCGGCTGCAGCCCACACCCCTGCAGATTCATAGGATTTACTGGGGAAGGCAGACACCCTCCCACGCCCTCAACCTGACCTGCCACAGTCAGCCTTGACCTTGTTCTTGGGGTGAGGTGGTGTCCAGGTAGCTCCTTCCCGCCTCCCTGCGTGCAGCCCACGCCCAAGGCGGAGGGAGCTGTGCTCCCTTCCCGGCAGGTGGAGGCTCTACATGAGTGACACGGAACTCCACACAGGACGTTCATCCCTCGTACCCCACAGGGTCACCCAATCTCTGATCGCGTCGGTGCAGACTAGTGCACATTTACTATTTTCAGTCACAATCCAAATGTAAACGTCCAAAGCAAACAGGAGCCCCGGCTCGTCCGGAACCAGCCTGACCATCACATCACCTCTGGGCTTCACTGTGATGGTCTCTTTGAGACCAAGGGCACCTGGCGCCGTGTCTGTGGTTACCCGGACCTTCAGGCCCCCAGCTCAGGGCCCAGGGCTCTCCAGTCTCCAACAGGCCCTACGACTGACTGGCCACTTTCAAACTTATCAGAACGTGCCTTCCTCATAGCGGATTAAGGGTGACGCATCAGGCCCACATACCTTTCTGGAAACCCGGGAGGCCACCCTCTCTCTGCGCAGGCCTCCAAGGAGACTGAGGCAGAGCCCAACAAGCTGAGGGCTTTCCCATGAACTCACCGCACTCGCCCTGAACACAAAGAGCCAGGGGGAGGCTCGGCCAAGGACGCCAGGGCGACTCAAATACAAGGGCGAGTGAGAGCCCCCAAAGCTGCATCTGGGGAGAGCACTCCGCCTCACGGGGCAGCTCCCTGCGCTGGGCGGACAGTAAGGTAAGAAACCCCCTCAGCCAAGGACGCTTTGCCTTCCCTCCAAGGTTCCTCGGGCACACAGGCCACTCAAAGAGCCCACAAACTCAGAAACTGCAGCAGGCAGGGGGGTGGGAGGGGGCATGACAAATGACCCACAAGGCAGCGGGTGGCGGCCTCCAGGAGGCCCTGTCTGCTCACAGACACGAGTGTGTTTGAGGCAACCTGCACTCTCCAGCAGCAGGGGTGAATAGGGGCTCTCCCGCACAGCCGCCACCACAGGCTGGTTCACAGAAATCAGCCCCGGACTGAACAGGAGCATCCGTGAGGGGGATGCTGGGCTGCGGCCAGAGCAGAAGTCACGCGGCCGGCCCCCTGTCATGGGCTCACAGCTGAGGGACAGGGGCCTGCAGGCCATCCGACACCAGGAGGAGGGAGAAAAGGGACCAGGGGTGCAGGGAGACCGTGTGTGCAGAGGAAGCAGGGGCCTGGGGGGTGGCTGGGCAGAGTGCCCAGGGGGCGGGACAGACATGGCAGGCTGGCGAGGGCCAGGCCGGGTGAGAAATCCACGCACGCAGAACCCGCTGAACGGGGGTGGTCAGGGCCCCGGGGCCAGAGCAGCTCTGAGAGGCCGGGCGGAACCAGGCTGGACAGGCCAGGCTACACTGCCTCCACCTGACTGGGGACCAACGCGAGCAGCGGCCACGAGAGCCCTGCGTGTGGGGTCGGGGGCTTTCCCAAGAAAACTGCTGGAGACTTCCAACGGGGGTCCAGGAGACGTCGAGGACCCAACGGGACTTATAAACCGAGAGACAAAGATGAAGGACAAGTTAGACCTGGGGCCCCTCGCCCAGGAAAGGGAATGGAGGCCCCGGGGAGCGCTAAACAGCCCACGGAGGGCACACAGAGGCACGAAGCTCAGCACAGCATTGGGACGGTCCCGGCAGGGGCGAGGCAAGAGGGAAGACTGGGCAGTCACAGGGCCGGAGGGCCGCCAAGTCAGACGGCGGCTGCAGGCCGGGACCCCGGCGGGGCTGACACAGCGCAGGAGGGCTCCAAGGCCAACTCCGGACTGGGCACCAGTGGGCGAAGGGCCATGGACGACCGAAGATGGGGCATGGGGCAGGGGCCGCACGCCACCTCTGCAGCAGGAATGGCCACTGCAGTCGGGCTGAGCGAGCAGGGCAAATCATGCGAGTGAGGGCAGAACACGGCGTCAGACCCCGCTTTGCCTCGTGGGCACGGAGTGCCAGCCGGCGTGGAAAGGGCCGCACAGGGAAGGGGCCGGGGGCCACAGGCCAGCAGAAGAGGGACCGCTCTGGCGAGAGGAGAAGGTGCTCCCCAATGTGCAGGTGGGGGCGGGGGCGGGCACAGGGGGCAGGGAGGCCTGCGTGGATGCTGCCGCCCCCACAAGGGACCCGAGGGAAGCACAGGATGGGGAGCGGCCCAGGCCAGGTCCCCCTGCTCTCCAGGGGCTCTAAGAGGCTGTGAGCTTGAACCCTGGGGAGGTCTGCACTGCAGAATCCTTGGTGACAAAAGGGATAGACCGCCCCTCGTATTCCCGGCTCCGCATCTCAGGGAAGGGTGCATGCGCCCCACGCGACAGCAATGCCCCACATGACGGGCCTACTCACCCTGCCTGGATGAGCTCGTTCAGCTTCGTGGCGTTCTTGTCGTCCATACCTAAAGGCAGAAGTAAATAAACGTGACCATGGAGTGCTTCGGGGCAAAACGGGTCAAGAGTCCCATGTAAGTAACTTCAAGCAGAAAGTGATCACCCCAGTTCCTTTTTGCAACATTCAAGGATTTCCACGACACCACCTCTCCGCAGCCGCGGCTCCATCTGCGACCCTGTTCCGTCTGCACCCGCACGTCCCTCCTTCCATGGGGACTTTCTTAGGGGGACGCTGCCTGCCTCCTCCCCAGACCTCTGCCACACTGAGCCTCCGAGCTCAGAGACTCGCTTCTCATGGTGCCCAGCGGGCACGCTTCTGCCGCTGGGCTTGGGTCATCTGTGGGGCTGAAGTCATCTGCTGGGGATCTCCAGGCGCCCCGGGTGGATGAGAGACCTGTGCGCTCGCTAGAGCAGACGCCACATTGTTCTGCCCTCCCGGTGTTAGTGCTTCCTCGACAGAGGACACAGGGAGCACGCAGGGCACCCCGGGACGCAGCGGGGGTTTGCGGGTCACTGCAAAACTCTTTGAACCCTTCCGTACGTTTTGGGGGAGAAAACAACAGGCCACGAACACACATCCAGACTGAAAATCAAGACAAGAACAAGATCCTTAGAGCAGCCCCAGGAAAGTAGCGCGTCCCCTGCAGAGGAGTGAGGAAGGGTGAGCGGACAGTGTGGTCAGACGCGGGGAATAACAGCTTCAAAGCGAAGAAAGGAGAACTGAGCAAACCAGAGCTCTCCCTCCAGCAAAAACGCCTTTCAACCTAGGGATGCCTGGGTGGTTCCGTCGGTTAAGCATCTGTCTCCTGATCCTGGCTCAGGTCATGACCTCACAGTTCATGGGATCAAGCCCTGTGTTGGGCTCTGAGCTGACAGCATAGAGCCTGCTTAGAATTCTCTCTCCCTCTCTCTCTACCCCTCCTCTGCAGTGGCTCACTCTCACTCCCAAAGATGAACATTAAAAATGAAAAAAGAACCCCAATGTTCATAGCAGCACTCTCAACAACAGCCAAAACATGGAAAGAGCCTAAGTGTCCATCAACGGACGAATGGATCAAGAAGATGTGGTTTATCTATACCATGGAATACTACATGGCAACGAGAAAGAATGAAATCTGGCCTCGTGTAGCAACATGGATGGACCTTGAGGGTGTTATGCTGAGCGAAATAAGTCAGGCAGAGAAGGACAAATACCATATGTTTGCACGTATAGGAGGATTAGGAGGAACTTAACTGAGGAACAAGGAGGAGAAGAAGGAGGGAAATGGTGGGGGAGGGGGAGGGAGGCAAACCATGAGAGACTTTTGAATGCTAACAAAAACTGAGGACTGATGGATGTGGGGGGGAGGGGGAAGATGGGCATGGAGGAGGGCACTCGTGTTATGTGGAATGATGAGCACTGGGTGTTATGTGGAAACTAATTTCACAATAAACTATCTGTAAAAAAAAAAAAAGAAAGAAAAAGAAAAAAAAAAAGAAAGGAATAAAGACTAGCTACTACTTTACAGCTGTCTCATCACTAAAGGAACTCACAAACACACTCAATGACTGCGTGTCAACACAGAGCAAGGCCAGCCCCGCACACCGAAGGGACATGGTCGGGACGGAGCTGGGCCCACGGCAAGAAGGCACAGCGGTGAAGAGGCCGGTGTGCAGCCTTGCTCGTGCCCGGGCGCCCAGCGCACCAGCACCCGCCACCGCACAGGACGGCAGGGACTCCCACCTGACGGCAGCGTGTGTGGGGCCAAGCATGTGGCCCAGGGCCCAGCCCGTCCTGGAGGCCCACGGGCACCTGAGCAGAGAGCAAAGGGTAGACAGAAGCTAACGGGCAAAAGAGGAGGGAAGGGTCCGTTGGTCCTGGGTCTGGCAGGCGGACAGACAAAAGGCCCGGGGGACCATGAGGGTTCGAGTCACCAGAAAGGCGGCAGCCAAGAAGCCACGCTTTAAGGAAGAACCGTCTAAACACATGGCGGTCCCCGCCCCACACCAGCTGCCGTGGCAGGAGGAACGGCCCCAGCCTGAGACCCAGTCCTGGGGGCAAAGCGCAACCTGTCACTTCCCAGCCACGGAGCCCACAGTCACTTGTTTCCATCAGACCAGAGCACCCTGAGCCCCAGGGACAAGGCCCAGGAGAAGAGCTGCCACGAGGTGGGACACAAGGGGGCGCGTGCCCGAGTCCCCGGAGCACAGCAGAGACACCACGTCCACTGCCCCAGGAGTCGCGCGTGTGCGGAGAGCTCGGGGAGAAACGGCGCGTCCATTACAGGCAGGCCCTGAGCGCCGCTCCTGCACAGCCTGGAAGAGGCTGTGGTGTGCACGGCGCCCTGCTCGAGGAGGCCCAAGCCTGCCCTCTCTGCAGACTCCCAAAACGACACAACAGGGTCCTTGTGAGGAGGGGGGAGGCGGGTGGGGGCTCAGACAGAGCCTCAAAGGGTGCGCACATTCCTGTGCACGTGAGAGAATGGATGTGAGTGTGACGCGCAGCTGGGCTGGGAGGGCCCGACGAGGCACCAGCAGCACTGGGTCAGCTGAGCCGCAGGGTGGCAGGAAGAGCAGCTGAGGTCCAAGCCCGGGGGATCCCGCTATGCCTGGGGCGGGGGGGGGGGGAGACAGTAAGCAGCCCGAGGTTAGGGAGCAAGGTGCTTACAGGAGATCAAGGCCAGCGTCACGCAGAGTCAGACAGGCCAAGGGCACATGGGCTGAGACGTGGGCAGTGCCCACCAGAGGACGCAGGGAGGGCCAGGCTGGCATGTGCGAGCAATCAGTAAACACCCGTCCCCCCGCCCCTCTGCTTCCTCCACACCCCCGCCCAGCCACCCCTCTGGGCCTCAGGAGCGGCCCTATGGCAAGTGCTCTTCCCCGTGTGACGGAGGCCAGCGACACCCACAGAGACAAGTATGCCCCTCTCATCGGAGGTCTCACGGGGAGGCGAGGTCAGTTGCTAACCACTTGGTGGCCCAGGAAGGCCAGAGCAGCCATCCGTCTAACGAGAATCTGGTTGCAAGGAGATGAACTCTGGCCACAAAGACCCAACAGGACAGGACAACAGGCCTGGGGGGGAGCAGGTGCAGCACGTGCGGGAACCCCCTGGCGCCCCATACTCACAGCCCCCGACCTTCTTGCGCAGCTCGCCGTAGCAGATCAGACCGTACAGCTCCTGGGACGACTTCTTCAGCCCGCGGGAGAACACTGAAAGATGAAGGATGGACACAGCGTCAGAGGAGAGGACGCCCAGGCCGGGGTCGGCCAGCTCGCGGCACGGGAGGGGCGTGCGGGACGCCAACCCCGGGGAGTCAGAGCGGAGAGCACACAGGAACACAGGGACACTTCTCAAATTTGCAAAATAAGGTGATAAACGAGAAGACCAGGGAGGAGCTAGAAGACGAGTGACGTCCAGGCAGCGCCGTGGGCCCCAGAAGAAACTGGGATGTCGGTGTGGCCGGCTTCTACAGAGGCAGGGGAGGTGGGGTGTGACCGTTCAGTCTGTCCCCCATCTCTCTCCGCACGCACACAATCCGCCCGAGCTCCGCGTGAGGCTGGCAGCCCCACGATCAGGGGAGCCGCCTGCTGACCAACGCCCCCCACACCGGGCCCAGGGCCACGCGGGAGAGGAGCCGCGGCCCCTACGATTCCAAGTACTGACACCCACTCTCCCCCAGCTCCTGAGCAATCCCCCTTCGTGTGGAAGCAATGCATCCGGGGCAGAGGGCACACATCCCAGCCTGCCCACGAGGCCCTGGCCTTTGATATGAGCAGGAGGCTTCCAGAAGCTCTGGAAATGTCCGAAGACAGACTCAGGACAGAAAGTGTCCACCCCTCTTTCCTGCAGAACTGCTGCCTAGAGCCGTGCTGGCCCTACGGCACATGAAGAGGGCAGGCCCCAGTTGTGGGCACCCGCCTGGACCACCTCCCGCTGAGGTTGAGGGTGACACAGTGCTTCCATGCGATCCGAGTCCCACAGGAGCTGAACGTGGCCCCAGCAGTCACCTCGCAGAGCCGTGACCCGCGCACCTCAGTTCCACCACCCCCACGACTGCTCTCTCCAGCTTCCACTCAGAGACCCCTTTCCCAAGTGCCAACATCCCCCATGTGTGACTAAGCCACCAGGAAAGGAACCTGAAATACGCTAGCAAGGAGAAAACAAGACCTTGAGTAAACAGCCTAAAGCCAAGGTCCCAACCCCACAGAGGCCGGGAGGAGCCGGAGATGGCAGACACCACCACTCAGCCGCTCCAGAGGTTCTTATGACCGACACCCAAGGCCTCGCTACGTTCCCCTAGGGACTGCCACTCAGCACGCCTTAGGGTCCCCTGGGCAGCGGACGAACGAGCACGGGCCGTTCTGACACAGGCGGTGACAGCCATGGAAGGGAACAAGGTTGTAACCCCTGCGACGACGCAGGTGCGCCGAGAAAACCCGAAGCTCGGTCAGGAGGCCACACGCGCAAGGCCACGTACCATTGGACCCTGTCTGTGGGAAGCGTCCAGAACAGCGGATCTGTGGCTGCCAGGGGCTGGGGGTGCAGGTGGCTGGGCAGTGCGGGGCCTGCCCTGAGCTGACTGCCTGGGTGCACCACCAAGGGGCAGGCGGCCTCCACGGGCATGGGGAGCCCCTGGGATCAGCGCGAACCCCAGGTGGAGCCATCAGCTCCACAGAAGGAAGGCTCCTCTCGCGAGGCCGCCACCCTGAGACCCCAAGAAGCACACAGATCAGGTAAAGGACGGCGGGGACGTGGGCCACACCGTACAGAAGGGACGTGTGCTGGGTCTAACCCTGGGGGGCTCGCTGTGGAATCAACACGTGGTGTGGGAGTGGGACCCGAGAGCGGTGGCTCGTCCGCCCCTCGGCCCAGAGTCGGGTAAAGAACCGAAGAGGAGTCGTACCTGCTGGGACCAGGGGGTTCAGGAGGCCATCCAGGGGGAGGAAGTGACAAAAATACTTACAGAAAAGTAAGTGCCTCAACTCTTAGTGCCTCTCAAAACCAAACGAGAAACAGCCCAGTGTGTGTGGCACTGCATCTGCCCTGGGGGCCCGGGTGTCCCCGAGAGTGGCCGCTCTGGCCACGGTGTGGGTGGGGTGAAAGACCGTGTGCTTGCCAGTGGAGTCACCTCCTCCCTGTCCCTACCCTGCTCTCGCGCCCACGGCAGCCTTCTCATCTGAAGACGGCTTTCCGGGGCCAGATACTGGGGACTGAGACTCCCCCCCCCATTTTGGAAGACTGAAAGCCGCTAGAGAACAGAATGTGCAACAGAAATATTAAAAGTACAAAAAAAAAGGAGACACAAGGAGCCAACGAACTACAATCGTTCCTGCTGCCGCCGGCAGGGAAGGGGTCTGTGAAGAGGCCACGTGTCATCAAGCCTTGGACTCAACAGGATCTGGACCGGGGCTGATGTTTCCAAATACTCTAGTGACCCGAGCGGCGCCCTCGGGCAGGGCCGAGCATGGCCATCGAACACACAGACACCGTGGGGACAACCTGGTCAACGACGACACGTGGCTGACTGGCCGCCACACACCCGCTAGCAGACGGTCTTCCATTACCGGTCACGTGGACGCCGAAAGCAAACGAACACGGTACTGGCCAGAGGGCTGCCGGCTGACGGGGGCGGTCACCGGGCACAGGAACGGGCAGGCCGGGAGAAGGTGCCGGGCCCGCCCAGCCCTTGGTGATCTGCTCTCCCCGCGGAGGCGCTGGGCTGGACGGGAGTCCCCGCATCTGGGAGCACCGGGTTGGGGGTGGGTAGTCCTCCCACAGGCGGTACCCCGGCTTTGAGCCATAAACCCAGATGCACGCATCACCCGCGAGGGCCGGAGGGCGCCCCCGCGGCAGGAAACCCGAGCGCCCCGCTGGCTGGACAGCAGAGCGGCAGGGCCACACGCCGTGCAGGGCCGGGCACCACACGTGGGCCCTGGAGGGAAGGCGGACGTGCCACAAGCAGGGCGAGACACCCGCGAGGAGACGCGGCTTGTTTCATCTGTCGTGTGAGTCTACCCAAAGAAAGGGTTCCTGAAAAAGGAGAGTACTGTGCGGACAGGGATGCTACATCGCTTAAAAACACTCGAAGGATCTGCTGGTCTGAAAGGAAGGAAGTGTATTTGTCTGCAGCAATGTCGCTGAGCAGAGCGCACCCAGAGAAACCCCACAGAGGCCGGAAAGGCGGCCTGAAAGCGACACGGGAGGGAGGGTGAGCAGCTGTGTCAAGAAGACGGCGGGGGCGTCTGGAGGGAGGGCGCTGGCTCGGCTGCGGGACGGCTCCCCCACGTGCCGTCCAGTGGGCTCGGGCAAGCGTCTCCGGTCCGAACCCGGGTTTTCCCCTGTGCCCTCCGGATGGCGTCCTCAGCGCGCAGGGAGCGGGCCGGCGCTCAGGCCGCAGCGGGGCAGGGACGGAGCCCGGCCCGGCAGACACGGCCCTGCTGTGGACATGGCGATGTGAGGTGCAAATCAGGAAGGGCAGGGCCAACCGGGGAGAGCAGCGATGGTCTAGAACAGGACCACGGGGACCAGGCGGTGGGGACAGACACCAAAAGCTCCGAGGTACAGTCGGCAGGACTCCGGTGAGTGGCAGGTGTCCACAAAGATTCAAAGGGGAAAAAAGTTCAAGGGGCAGAGTCAGGGGACTACCGTGACCGTCTGGAGCTTAGGCGCCCGCACTGGCCAGTGGCAGTGAGAAAGGACTCCTCTAGGGAAGGGTTGGCCAACGCAGGCCAAATGCAGCCCGTGGCCTCCTTTCAGGAAGGAAGTGTTTGGGGGACACATCTGCCTTGCGTGGTCTATACAGCAGCTGAGAGCGCGCAGCGCAGCAGCTCTGATAACAACTCTAAACCCCACAGTCCATAAGGTTTGCCAGCTGGCCTTTTACAGAAACACATGCCTTGGATGACCCTTTCTAAGGCCAGAGGAGGAACCCCAGGTGCCGGCATCCCGACACACGGGGGACCCAGGGAGGAGGGGCAGATGGGTCACCCCAGACGACGCTGGCTCCCATGGGGCTAAGGTACACACCAAATGTGCCGGGCAAACAGCCCACACGTGGGGCCCACGTGGCAATATGGGAGTCCCCAAGGGCCAGCACAACAGGCTCACGGCAAAGGCCCAAAGTGGGAATGACCACAGCCATCAAGGTCGGCCCACGTGAGGATTCATACTGTTTACACAGAGGGGTCAGAAACAAGTGGAGTCAGCAGATGCGGGTGTGTGGAGGGACGGAGCTACGAGTGACGCTGTGGAAGCGAAGAGTAACATCAAGAAGGGTGGAATCAGCGACCAAGTGCTGGCATGACACGTGGGGACAGAGAGGCTGGTCAGAGTGGCTGCTCCGAGTGGGACATCAGACCCACACTGGGCATCGATCCGGGTGTGTGAACTGAAGACAGGGCTTCCGAAGCCCGGCTTCAAACCCAGACATGAGCCTCGGGAGAGCCAGCCCTCCCCCACCAGGCCCTGCCCGACCCCCAGCCCAAGGAGCCACCACTGGGGAGAGGCCAGGCTGCACCCATGGCCTGCCTCTCCTCATCCACCGTGGTGAGCTCCCCGCCCGGTGCAGGACACACACCCAGAGCATGAAGAGCACATTCCACCTAACCGGCCGGTGGTCACCAGGCCACCAGCAGCCGCAGCACCACAAGGCACGGAAACCCCCGGCGGCTCGGCCGCGCGAAGACAACGCCAGAGGGGGTGTGTGGTGGGTTGGCTGGAAACCAGCCCCTGCCAGCAGCCGCCGGGCCCCCCGCCCGCCCAGGAGCCTGGCACCCTCACCGTTGTCGAAGTCAATGTACTTGGTGATCTTGTGCCACGTGCGGTAGTAGAAGTGGCGGACCTGCTCCTTGTTCTTCACCATGCTCGCGGGCTTGCCCTTCTTCTTATACTTGAGGGCGATGTTGTTCTGGATGGCCTCAAAGTCCTTCCCGTGCTGGAAAGCGAAGCGCACGTTAAAGGCGCAGAGGTTACAAAGCAGCCTCCCGTGCCGCATGGACATCCCCGGGGAAGCAGAAAGGGCAACGGAGGGCGTGGCGGTCAGGCGCGTGGCCTTCACGGCCTCAGTTCAAGCTCGCCTCCCTAGAACCTCGGGGGGGGGGTTTGTTTTTTCTGAAACCCCAAAGACATGCATGCAACCTTAGGATTTAACTCGAATAATGGATAAAGCAGCAACAGAAACTCAGGGATAAAACCATCATAGCATGGGGGCCAAGGAGGCAAGGACCCTGGGGCAGGAGCACACAATGCTCGTCCCTCGGATGAAAGGCGTGATGCCCAGTCCCCTGAACCAGGAAAGAAGATGGCGCCGTGAACACAATCAGCGGAGCACAGAACATGAGGACGGCGGAGCCCAGAGCACCGTATACCTGGCTTCTGAAAACAATACATCAGGGGCGCCTGGGGGCTCAGCCAGTTAAGCGTCCGACTTCGGCTCAGGTCATGATCTCATTGTTCCTGGGTTCGAGCGCGGCATAGGGCTCGGTGCTGACAGCTCAGAGCCTGGAGCCTGCTTCAGATTCTGTCTCCCTCTCTCTCTGACCCGCCCCTGCTCACACAGTCTCTCTCTCTTTCAGAAATAAATAAAAAATTAAGAAAAACATTAAAAAATAAAGAAAAAATACATCAACCATCCAGAACTATCCTCAATGCTCTGGTCAAACAACACATACCCCATGCTCAAATGGGGGCAGCAAATACAAGCACTTACGAGAACCACAGAATATGCTCTGAATGCCTCTACGGGGCATCCTTCCTTCAACACCTTCATGCACCAGCTGAGTATTTCTGAGATTTCGGATTGGGACTGATTCCCCAGAGAACATGGTCACCACCAGCACGGATCAGGAGCTGCTGACGCCCCATCGAAGCTGAGGCAGTGAGGAGTCGTGGGGACGCCCAGAGGTCACAGCAGGCCGGCAGCACCAGGTACCCCCAGCACCCGTATCCTGGTTGCTAAATCCCACATCCCAAGAGAAACCAGGGCCTCTCGGAGAGAGGGGCAGGGAAAGTCCGAGTGAGGCTGGACTATCTTGCTGTGCACCCCAGGGCCTGGAGGTGCAACCCAAGAGGCGGCCTGAAGAGGCTCCCAGTAGCCAAATCTGCAACAATTCCGGCAACAAAACCAACAATGGCATCAACAGACTGTGACCGACAGACCAGCCTACGTATCCCTGAGTCCACAGAGATAGAAAGACATTAGTGAATTCGTACCTAAATAGGGGAGCGGGAAAAGCTTTTTCTCACAGGATTTCCAACTAATGAGTGTGGGACAACAAAGGCAGAAAATCGTGCCTGGGAAAACACTGTAATGACAGTCATTTCAGGTAAAAAGTGGCAAGAGTTGCTACAGTCGCTGGAAGAAAGAAGGAAAAACAAGATTTATTTATACAGTCCCGAAGTAAAAAAAGACAAGACTAGGGCCCGGCAGCTGCCACCCGAACGCAGTGATCAAGGGCTGCGCCACCGGGACAGGATGGAACACATCACACGCTCTGGACAGGACGCACCCAGGACAGCCCACACTCCTGTGGATTCTCGATGAAAAGGCAAAACGTACGCTTAGCCATCAGGACACCTCGGAGAAGCCCAGACCTGGGGACATTCCATAGCTCGCAGACCACAGGTCTGCACGAGCGGCCGGCTGTTGGGAGCCGGAATGGAGTGCTCCCGATGGAGGGCGCAGGAGTCATGCCCACTAGTGCGACGTGCGCCCCCGATCCAGAAAGGACACCAGTGGGAACACCAGCTAGGCCCAATTAACACCTGCAGGTCAGTAAACGCTACGGTAACCACGTGGCATCTCACTGTACCGGTCACGCTGACGTTCCGTGAACGCCGGGAAAGGGCACGTGGAATTCGTTGTACCCTTCCTGCAATTTTTCCTCCAGGTCTGAAATTGTTGTAAAATGCAAAGTTAGGAAGCGTCTGGGTGGCTCAGTTGGTTAAGCGTCTGACTCGGGATTTTGGCTCAGGTCACGATCTCACGGTTCATGGGATGGAGCCCTGCGTCACTCTGTGCTGACATCATGGAGCCTGCTTGGGAGTCTCTCTCTCCCTCTGCCCTCTGCCCCTCCCCTGCTTGCTCTCCTCTCTCTCAAAATAAATAAATAAGCATTTTTTTAAATGAAAAATTAAAGTTTAAAAAAGACCCTGTTCGCTGTTTAAACATCAGGTTGGGCACCTGGGTGGCTTAGTCAGGTAAGTGTCCCACTTCGGCTCCGGTCATGATCTCGCGTTTTGTGAGTTCGAGTCCTGAGCTCTGTGCTAACAGCTCAGAGCTGGGAACCTGCTCAGATTCTGTGTCCCCCTCTCTCTCTGCCCCTCCCCTCCTCGCGCGCAGCCAGCAGATAAAACGTGAAAAGAGTCCATCGCCTTCCTCTGGGAGCCCCACCCCCACAGGCCCCCTCAGCCTGACAGAGCTACGGGGGAGCGGGTGCAGGCGCCCTCTCAGTCTCCACGGCACGGCAGGAACTGACCCCAGGAGGCACGGCCTCAGGAAGAGTCTGGGACAGGCCCGAACCATCTGAGTCCTTCAGGAACTGTCCCAAGAGGGGAGGGTGGCAGGGGTGGCCGAGGCTCCATGCCATCACTGGAGTCGGTGCATCGGCCAGGCTTGAGACTGCCCCTTGCCATCCCTGTCGGTCATGACAGCGGCTCAGTCCCCGCGCCGTTCTGCGCTCCGAGCTCGGTCTGCACCGCCGGAGGCACGGCTGTGTCCCCTGTGTGCGTCAACAAGGCTGCGATGACTCCCCGCACGGGAGCCCACACCCCCCCGTCCAAGCTGTTCTGTCCCGCCCCTGCTCATCAGCCCTACATCAAGCCCTCGCCAGAGTCCCGCCGAGCCCATGTCACACACAGGTCAGCAGTGAGGCATGCTCTCATGTGCTCCCTCTCATGCGCACACACACGCACGCACACATACGTGGGACGCACAATCCCAGCTGTGGAAAGCTTGGAGTGCCCAGAACAGTCAACTATTATGGTTAATTGAGGATCTCAGGAGCCCTCAAAACACCTACCTGGGGGAAGCGTACAACCAGAAAGCTGGTCGAAAAGAGGCAGGGCCGGTCACTGGCCGGGAACCGAACCCACACTTTTTAATCAAGGAGCATATCTTCGGCCAGAGTTCTGCACCCCGGCAGCCAGACCCCTGCAGAGCTGCACTGCCCCGCCCCCCACGAAGGTGGGGCTGTACCAAACCAGCTAAGGTTTCGGGTGATGGTCAGCTACACATTGGACGACGGTCCTCAGCTCCCCGGTCTTCTACACCTAACACACGGCTTCAGGGAGGCGTAGTCTGGGGACCTGAGTGCACAAAACAAGCCTCTGCGCCAGGCTCGGAAACCGTGCGAGGGGAGGGATGATCACACTTGGAGCCGCGTGAAGGACTCTGCACCTACTGGAGCGAGCCTCAGATACACACTCTGTGACCTCCCTGGACCATGGGGTCCCTTGGCACAGACACGCCAGCTTCCTCCAACGGGGACAGCAGAACCGAAGCACCGCCCCTCGGGAGGAATACGCGCAGCCACGGGAATGTTCTGACATCGGCATGGGATTCTGGCTCCTCGTGTCTCTCATCTCTCCGTGGACACTCTGGGGCATCAGTCCCAAAGCCTGTCGGCCATGAGCCCTGTCTGCCTGGCTTGGGAAGGCTTTCCGTCAGTCCCGTGATTTCGCTCTTAAAGGTCTAAGGCTCATCTAGTGAGTAAGCCACCCCTGACGTGGTGTCCCAACGAGGCTTCCACGATACAGAACATGCAGATGTTCACTGCAGCAGTATTTATCGCAGAGTCGGGAAGGAACCACGACAATCAGCATCACAAGGACAGTTAAACAGGGTGAGGGTTGGCTAGAGGGTACGCACGGAGATGCTGCAGGCCACTCCACGTCTGCTGTCCTGCTCAATTTGGTCACTGTAGTCAAAAACGGCCAGAAACCATGTACAAGTGAACGGGCATGGCTGTGTTCCAGTAAAACTTTATGTATGAAAACAGGCAGCAAGCGCGCAAGCCAGTTTGTTCACACGTGGAGTAGAATACTTCTAAGCGTTAACAATACACTGAGCAAAAGAACTATAACATACCACAAAAAGGTGTTCGATATTGATAAAAAAAGAATGTCTGGGGGGCCTGGGTGGCTCAGTCAGATAAGCATCTGACTTCAGATCAGGTCAGGATCTCACGGTTCGTGGGTTCAAGCCCCACAACAGGCTCTGTGCTGACAGCTCGGAGCCTGGAGCTGCTTCAGATTCTGTGTCTCCCTCTCTCTCTGCCACTCCCCACCTGGTACACATGCTCTCTCCTCCTCTCTCTCAAAATAAAATAAACATTAAAAAAAAGATTAAAAAAAAAAATATGTCCACTGCGGTTGCAAATACTTGGGAAAGCAGGGGAGTGAAAACGGCCGGCAGGGAGTGAGGCAGTCTCTTAGGGCAGTGGATCAGGAGCGGCTTCTATTTTTAGGACTTTCCACTCTGTCCCAGGTCAGCTGTGACCTCTCTCAGGGTGGAGCTGCCTGCTCTGACTAGTGTGCAAGAGTGTCCCCTGTCCCTCCCCGTCAGGGACCAACCCGCCCGAGTCGGCCCACTGAGCGGCACAGGGAAGGCGCAGGGACAGGACACGGCTCTTCAGGAAAGAATGTTCCTGAGACAATGGAGAGAGTCTTGGAAGAGAAGGAACCCAACAGGGACACTTGCTAACAACCATCTCACTCGTACCGGCTTTTCGGGGCACATCGGGAGGCTGAAGAGCCGAGGTCAGAGGCTGAGGCCTGGGCCTCGGGGACCCTCGCCTGCAGCCCACCAGGGGCTCCCCGCTGAGCTGCTGAGCTAGTAGATCCGGCAGCCACGTGGCCGGCAAGGCTGAGGCGAACAGAGGGAAACACGGACGAAGAGGAGGGAGGCTGGCCGTGCCGGCCCCCCGTCCCGCCCCAGAGCTCACCTCGTACAGCCCCTCGAAGAAGGTGTTCTTGTCCTCGGTGCTCCATGACTCCCACTGCCGCCGGGCCTTCTTGCCTTCTTCCTTCTCACCGCCCGAGGACCCCAAGTTCCGGGAAGAGGAGCGGGAGCCCCCAGCAGGGGCGGCAGGGGCGGCCGCAGACCCATTTCCGGACGACGATCCGCCACCATCGGCTCCTTGGAGAGAAAGAACTATGTGTGATCTGTTCCAAAGGCTGCAGCGCTCGGGGACGCCCCGGGCACACGCGTCAGGCGCCGGCACCATGCGGGAAGGCACCTGGGACCCACTGCTGGCCCAGTGGGGCTGTTCGCTGATGACCTCATCCTGGCCTGGCCTCTCTCCAATGTTTTTAGGGACAGAAAAAGAAGAGCGTTTCTGTGGACCCACCGAGAGAGCACGACAGCGTCCCTGCCGGAGGCAGACCACCCTTCGCCCCGTGACCTGAACACACACGTCATATGTCACAGCGTCTCACTTTCCCAGATGTGTCTGGCATGAAGTAATTGTCGCCTTTCCAAACAAAAAACTTAAAATTCAAACTCAAGAAAACATTTAAGTGTGTGTGAAATACCACCTTCTCTTAGAATCCATGCTTCACAATGAAAATCATGTGATGCCTTTAAAAGAATCTTCAGAACACCTTAAGAGTCCTTTTCCTTGAACAATTTCAACCAACAAAATCTGACATTCGAGAGTGAGCGGACAACCTGGCAGGTGCTCTGCCAGCATCGGTGACAAGTCCCGGGGATCCGGGCCGCACGGGAAGAGCACGGGGAAGCGCTGCAGGTCCGCACTCCTGGGGGACGCAGGCAATCCGCAAGGGGCGAGAGTCACCGATAACGCCCGTTTATGACCTAACCCACTGCTCCCGCCCATCTGGCTCCTTCCTCAAAGGGAAGGGGAGCCCCAGCACACGCCTGTGACAACTGGACCCTCCCCCGGGGCCTGCGGGACCGCCAAGGGGGAGCAGTCTTCAAACTCTCAGCGGCTGGGGACGGGTGTAAGACAAGACCGTAAAAACAAAAGTGCTGGGAAAGCAAAGGCGAAACAAACGATGAATATGGTCAAAAGCTTTCGCGGTGAGATGGTCGTGAGCCTGTCCAGGGAGGCAGCCTCCGGCTTGCTCAGGCGCCCCGCCCCCCGAGGCTACGCCTTCCTCACCCCCTCAACAGGCATCTACCACTGGAACAGGGCGAAGACACGGAGGCTCACAGGAAAGCACAGGAAGTGCTGATGCACCCCGCTGGAGAAACACGAGGCGTGGGGCAGGGGTGGCCTGACGGACGGGTCACTCCGCACCGACGTACCAGCCACACTGTCCACACAGCGCACCACGGCTCCACGTCATGGTGCCGAAATAAAGAGCGCTTCCCGCACGAGTCCGCTCCCGGAAAGCAGAATGCGTGGTCACATGCGCAGAAAGACCGCACAGCTACGCAGAAGGGGTGGATCCCCTCGGGGGAAAAGTGTGGAAAAGTTCAGGCACTTCAGAAGCTAACAAGGCTGCGCCCCAGAAACCGCCACTCGTCACCGCTGCTACCACGTGAGGCTCTATGCACACGGATTAATTAAAATTCAATAAAACACAAAACCCAGATCCTTGCTCACACCAGCCACGCTTCTAGCGGTCAATGTCCACAAATGGCTAGTGGCCCCCATGCTGAACAGCACAAACTCCTTCTACCAGCGCAGGAAGTGCCCAAGCACACCATTAGAGGAGAAGACACAGTCAGGGTTTCCCAGCGCGGCCTGTGCTCCCACGGCCACCACAGAACCATCCCCTAGGGGCCTCCCTGCCACCCAGGGGGCTAAGGGTGCACCCAACACAGATCGGACTTGGTCCATTCCTCACCAAACCAAACCAGAGACGTGACCTGACAAATGAACCCAACATCCCCCGGGGTGACAGGTGGCGACCTTTGAGCACAGCTGCCGGGATGCCTGGCTTCACATCACTTCCTGGAGCGCCGGAGGCGCTTCTCCCACAAGGCCAAGGTCAGTCACCAATGCCCTGAAATCCAGGCGCCCGTGACTGATCCTGGAGCCTGTAATTCCGCAGGCACAGTGACCCGAGGAAGGGCTGCTGTCCTGCTGCACCACCCACAACAAAGGGATCCAGGGTCCTTTTCTGACTTCTGATGAAACCCTCGCTTCACTCTTTCCACAACAAGAGCCGCCTGTCCAGCAGCCCCGTAAGTGCCCCTGGGCTGCCCGCTCCGCCAGCCCACGCTGAGGCTGCACGTGCTCGCAAGTTACACGTGCTCTCTGCAAGTGACGCCGCAGTGGCCCACCAGCACGTGCAATGGTCCCGATCACAGCACCAGGGAGACCGCAGACAAGTCGAGCGAACCCTGAAGGCAAACGGACGGGAGCACTTCCAAGCGGGAAGGAACCTCAGGGACAGAGCGCACCATCATTCAAGAGCTAGAATGCTTTGTAAAAGTAACGCAGAACCACAGAAATTCAGGGGCGCCTGGGGGGCTCAGTCAGTTAAGCACCCGACTTCGGCTCAGGTCACGATCTCATGGTTCGTAGGTTCGAGCCCCGTGTCAGGATCTGTGCTGATAGCCAGCTCAGAGCTGGAGCTGCTTCTGATTCTGTGTCTCCCTCTCTCTTTGACCCTCCCCTGCTCATGGTCTCTCTCTCTCTCTCTCTCTCTCTCTCTCTCTCAGAAATAAATTAAAAATAAAAGAACCACAGAAATTCAGTGTCGAAAGGGGACATGCTGGGTGGACCCATCCCCGAACTGCAGCTGGGGCGGATGGCTCAGGCAGAAATCAGCAAGGCGCGGAGCAGAGACACCGTGGCAGGCCGTGACACCGGGGCCCCAGGAGACCCCATCACCAGTGCAGGAACATTCCGACGGCAACAGCGATGCCTCAAGGGGGAGACCGAAGCCGGCAAGGACAGAGAAGGAGTGGCCGCAGGGGGACGAGCAGACCCGGTGGGTATGGGGGCTTTCTCGGGGCTAGGAGCAGGTGCGAGCAGATGACCAAAGTCAGAGGGTGAGCAAGAGTCCATGTGATGAGAAGTCAGCACCCAAGAAACCTCGATGGAGGGGTGCCCAGGTGGCTCAGTCGATTTGAGCATCCAGCTTCGGCTCAGGTTACGATCTCCCAGTTCGTGGGTTCAGGTCCCACATCAGGCTCCATGCTAATGGTGTGGAGTCGGCTTGGGATTGTCTCTCTACCTCTCTCTGCCCTCCCCTACTCATGCCTCCTCTCTCTCAAAAATAAACTGGGGAAAGAAAAGAAACCTGGAGGAAAATGATGCACAAGAGAGGACCCCAGCAGCGAGGTGGGTGAAGGCAGGAATGGGGTCTGACCCTTCTGTGCCCAAGCCTGGCACCGGGCATCACACGCAGATGTTCGACGAGAATTGGGGCACCGCAGGAGAGCAAGTCAGGGGCCCCTGCCCGAACAGAAGCCCGTGCCTCCCGAACAGAGCCAGCCTTCCCTCTCAACCTGCTTCTGTGTCCCAGTCTTCCAGCTGCCCGGGCGCTGCCCAGCCTCTCCCGTTCCCAGGCCGGCTCTGTACCACCCAAGGAAGACAACTTTCACAGCCTCCTCCCTGGTTTCCAAATCAACCCCAGCCACGGCCTGTTCTCCAGAGCGTGCACTTGATGGATGCAGATGCGTGGCCGTGCTCTGCCTTCATGGGGGCCGCTCCCCACCCTGACGAGCGAGGCCGTCTGCCTGCTGCATGCCCCCCTCCCCCGCTTCTCTGCTGGAGCCCAGAGCACCGTCACCCACGCCACTCACACCACCAGGACCGGGGAAAAGATGCCCACCTTCCGAATGGGTTCACCGAGGTACAGGGGCAGTGGCCTGGTGGGCGCACCACGTGGCTGCTTGGACAAGAAAGGAAGCGTGGATTTCTACACCTTTAAAGCATATTCGAATGCTTTGCCCCTTTCTGTCTTCACAGTGTGCAGTTATTATCCACTTTTCAGACACGGAGAAACTGAGACTCTGACAGCACGAAAGCCCCAAGGCTCCAGGCAGCTAAAACCAAGCCTCTTACTCCAGAGCCGGGGGCGCTCCTCCCGAGCCACACGACACCGTGGTGGCTGCCACCCGCGTCCCAGCTGCCCCTGCACTGCTACTGCACACCGAGCCGGAAAATCCATGGGTTGGAGGATGGAGGGCACTTGACCTCGACACCTCCCCTTCAGTCTGCGACCGGTAAAGGAAACTCACAGGTTCGAGGACTTGCCCAAGTTACACAGTTAGTACGTGGCAGGAGTTAGGACTCGGGAGCATGCCTACTTCTAAGACCAAACGCAGGTGACTTAACGCAGGGAAGATACGGAAGATTCAACAACTCACTATCCTGCAGGTCTCCCCTGGAGTCTGGGGAGCTTCCTTCCAAAGGTCAGGAGCGTTAGCGCAGACACGGACAGGGGCCCACACTGTGAGGTGCTGAGTGACATCCCTCTGTGGGGAGGTGGGCCTGCCTGCACATGGTCCACCCCCAGCTAGGAAAACGTGCCAGCGTCAGCCAATACACATGCATCTCCAGGCACGTGAAGGCTTCCTCGTGGCCTGGGTCTGCGGTAGAGGGGACAGGGACCTTCCAGAGGCCAAGCATGGCACATGGCGCTCCGTTCACCTGGCTCGTGGCCACGGTGGGCTCCATACTGTCATCATCAAAACTTTTTTTTTTTTTAATTTATCTATTTGCTTTGAGAGACAGAGAGCCAGCAGGGGAGGGTTAGAGAGAGAGGAAGACAGAAGATCCCAAGCAGGCTCCGAGCTGTTAGCAGAGAGCCTGAAGTGGGGCTAGAACTCCCGAACCATGAGATCATGACCTGAGCCAAAGTCAGTGCTTAAACGACTGAGCCACCCAGGCGTCCCAAACACTGCACCTGATTCTATTAAACATCACCTACTGCCTCACACTGGACACAAGCCTCCGTGAGCAGTGACAATCTCATCGTTTCCCCTCCTCCCTGACAGTATGAAGGACAGGGAATTCGGGGTATGCGTGGCCATGTCTCAACCAGCCTTCTGGGGCCTGGCCCAAGAGCCTGAGAAGGGACAACACGAGTGACCCCAGAGCAGATGAGAAGCAAACTGCGGGTGCACGAGGGGCAGGCACACCCACAGGGGAGGGGCGCCCTGACCACTCCCTGTGCAGGGCTCCCCCAGAGGCAAGGGCCAGGCAGAGCTCGCAAATACAGAGCTCCACTGCCATCAGGAAACCTACCTTCCAGAATGCTCTCTTGAAGCAAAGAGGACCCAAATCCAGGCTGCCAGCTGACCCCTTCATCCCTTAACATGAAGGCTGAGGTGGCTTCCTCCACTATCTCACCCAACCCATTTTGAAAGTAAGGAACCTAACGTATGGGCGCATCAAGGGACTTTCCCTGTGTCCCACAGCAGCTCCAGAGGCAGAAGCCGGGCCTCCTGACCGCCGGCTCAGCCCTCTTCCCAGCACAGTACTCATCTCGCACAGGCTGGCCCCACCAGGGCGGCACAGCTCACGTGACGTCTTCTGAAGACACCTGCAAGCTACAAGCAGCCCGCAGTTTATGCGAAACATAAATAAGTTCTGTCCAGGGATTGAGTCCCGAGCACAAACACAGAGGACCCAGGTGACACTGCCCAACTGTGGAGTCAGCAATCCCCCCCTCCCCCTGCCACGAGCTCGTCTCCAGCTGCTCTCAGGCAGGGGAGCAGGGGAGGGGGCAGGGCAGCAGCGGAAGGAGAGAGTGTACTCTGCACCCACCTCAACTGCCCCGACAGGGCAGGCAGCAGCTCGGGAGCGTTCCTGGGGCCTCGGTCACCACCACCCAACAGGTGACACCTGCCCGCATCCACCTGTCCGGCCTCTCTCTCTCTAGCTCCCTAACCTCAAAACTGACCACATTTCCGGTAACACAGGGTCGAGGGATCTGTGACGACCTACGACGCGGCTTAGCGGCAATGCTCACTGCAGGGAGCAGGCCCCGGCCTTACCCCGCTCACAATCACACCCAGGCTCCGAGGGAGAGAGCGGTTTGCTCAGCACTACCGCACCACAAACTGGCCAAGGCGGGGCAGGACCTCGGGGGCTCTGCGTCCTGGACCAGGTTCCTGCAGATACGTGAACTCTGGCTTTCAGTCTCAAACGCATCCTTGGGTCCCTCCGGCCGTGGTGGCGGGGCAGGAAGGACGTGTGCGTTGGCATCAAGCGCATCTGCCGGTGTCTGGCTCGCAGCTGACCTTCCACTAAGGTGGAGCACATTATTCAAACAGCAAACTTCACTTTCTGCGCCCACTAAAAACTGACATGACAGATACAAGACGGCCGGCACCGAGGGGCTAAATCCCGCCCTTCAAAGCTCAAAAAGAACTAGAGACAGAATTGTACTAGAAAAAGTTACAACTCACTGCCGTTGACACAAGAGCGTCCTCTTAGGAAGAAGGAAAACAGCGGCGGGAGGCAGGGTGGGAGCAGCGCAAGGCGGACTTCCTCTCCCCCACAGGACTGCTCCCGGCTCACCACCAGCTGCACACGCCTGTCTGCAAGCGAGCGGCCAGAGACCCACCGACAACCAGACGAACAGAAATGTGGTTTTAAAGGAAAACAACCTAAAACATGCCAGGGCTGTTCAATTCCTCATGGATCTGCGCTCAGCACCGTAGGTGGAGACTTCCCCAGGCTGTGAGACCAATGCCCCTCTCCGAAATGTCCGTGAAGGCCACGGGGCACACGGTCACACCCTGCCCTTTGCTGGCTGCTGATGGACATGCTGAGCGAGCAGAGGCGCCCGAGACATGAGGCGGCGGGTGTCCCGGGCATGGTGAAGTGCGGAGCCGAGATCAGGCCCCGCAGGAAACTCCAGGCTCAACCTTGTCTGTGAGGCAAAGCAGACCCGCTTCCTACCCCTATCATAAAAGCCACCGCTAGGGTTGAACCTTACTGTCTACTCCAGGAAATAACTGCTCGCTAACATACAAATACACGTACGGCATGACAGGCGCAAATCCTACCAAACTTCCATTTTCCTCGCATAAAGTGGTCACTGCTCCGAGCCACACGTGTGCCGATGACGTGCTGGGAGGCTGCTCCAGGGGCCCCTGTCCATCCGAGCCATGCTCATCTGCGCGAACAAAAGCCAGCCCCCCCTCCACTGCCTGCCGGCCCAGAGTCTAACCGCATATCGCCACCCACGGTGCCGCTCCGCCTCAGGCACAGCCGGCCATTCACGGGTGACCCAGGACTTTCACTCCACCCCGCTTCACGTGAGCAGCCGCCGTTGTGCGTCTCTCTCTGGCGGATTCAAAGAGTCACACAAGCAGACGAAAGGTCAGAGGGCGAAGCTGGCAAAGCCCTGCGCTCCGCGAGAGCCTCTAAAGCCACAAACCGCTGAAGGCATCCCAGGTGCTGACTTAGATACACCTGTAACTAGGAGCCAAAAAGCTACTCGTTTTGCAAAACAAATACAGCAAATTAACCTTTTCCTAATTGGCTAGCAACTTTCACACCAACGTGAATGCGAATGACCCATGGTTTAATTTCTGAAACACATTAAATTATCGCACGCTCACAACTCTAAATTGACTTAAATCCAGCCTTTGCCAATAAAATAAACTAAAACAGGTAAGACCAGGAGGATTTCAGAGGCCTCCTAGGGTGAGGACGAGGCAGAGCTCAGTCGAATCGCCCACATCTGGCACAGGTCTCCAAAGCGGGGTCTTTCTCTGTTGGTTTCTGAAATCTTCCCTTCTTAAAATGATCAGAGCTATCTAGTAAATTCAAATTACCATTTCCCAAGGAACTAAATAAAAGACTCTCTTCCCTATGAAACTCCCTGGAACTCTGTTCCATTTGCCATCCATAACAGTGCCGCAGATTGGGCCTCGACCAAAAAGCATGGTAAGAGCAGCTCTCCTGCGCGGCTAAGGAGAGACGCTGAGACGCAGAGAAAAGGAGTTCACGACGGAGAAGGAACACGTCAGCGGTGGCGCCGGCACTGCGGCTCTCCTCTGGTTCTGGAAGGGGCCCTAGCAAAGCGGCACCGCTGCCATCAGGTCAGAGCGCAGGGCCGACACCACGGACGTTACCTGCTCTCCCCAGGCGGCAGATGCTCTGGCTACCTCCCGCCCTAGGGGACAGCCTTTGCGTGGCACCCGGGGAAACCCTGGTGGCAAGTCTAAGGGCTGCAGCTCCACGTCCTCAGTACTGTTGTGCCCACACTACTATAGGCAGGGAGCCGCGGGCCCAAGTCAGACCCTGCCATCGGTCACTTCTGGCTTCTCCTCAAATGAGTTTCAAAAGCCCCCTCTTTTGTTGTAGGTGCGCCAGCTCTCGTCCAGGAAGGAGATACAGCAGCATTGCTCTTTCCTTTCCCAACTATTGTCCGCGGCTTAAAATAGCCCACCGAGTAAGTCACCAACACCCCTTCAAGAGGAAAACCCCCTCCAAGAACCCATCGTGCGTGCCCAGAAGGCATACTTACTCCTCTTCCCGGAGTTTCTGCACCGAGAGCAACAGCCTCTTCGGAGGAGAAAGGGGGCACGTCCCCTCCACGGTGCCGCCAAAGTACGCGGTAGCGCGCTTGGGGACGCGGGCGGGGGTCCCTCTGCAGCCCCCCCTCCCCCCCCAGGGCCCGGGGGCACACCCTGGAGGGTCCCGTACCTTTTCCACGCGGCCCGGAGCCGCCGGCGCTGCCGCTCCCTCCGGCGCCCGCGGAGTCCTTCCTGAGCCGCTTGCTCTGCGGCCTGACGCTGGACCGGAGGAAGTGGTGCTGGTCCTGCGGGCAGGCGGGCGGCGGCGACGGGGCCTGCGGGCCGCCCGCGGGCGCAGGGGGGCCGTCGGCGCCGTCCCGGGGGGTCCTGGCGTCCCTCTTTGTGCCGCCGCTCTCCTCGGCCGCGTCCCCGCCGCCGGGCCCCTCGCCCTCCAGCGAGTCCTCCTCGGCCGACCGCTTGCCCAGCCGCTTGAGCCCGTCCTCCCCGCCGCCGCCGCCGCCGCCGTCTCCCAACTTCACTGTCATCCTGGCGGGGCAGGGGAGGGGACCCCGGTGAGGCGCGCGCCCGGCAGCCTGCCCGAGAAGTTTAGCGCACCGATGCCCTCTCAACATGGCCGCCGTTGTTTGTTCCCGATCCCCTCCCGGCCGCCCGCCGCCGCCGCCGCCGCCCGGCCCGGCCCTGCCCCGACCCCCGGCCCCGACGCGGACCCCGGCGAACGGCGGCCGGCCGGCGCGGAGGCGGCGGGGCTGGCGGTCCGGGGGCCGCGGCCGGACGGCCCTGCCCGCGCGGCGCCCCGGCCCGGCGGGGTCGCCCGCGGGGGGGGAGGGGGGAGAGGGTCGGGGGCGGCGGGCCCCGGAGGAGGGGAGGTCCCGGGGTCCCGGGGCTGTGCCCGGAGCCACCTACCCGGCGGGGTCGCGGCTCATGGCCGGAGCGGCGGGCGGCTAGCGCGCCGGCCTCTCCCCGAGCCGCCCGAGTCTCGGCGCCCGCGCCCCCGACCCCACCCCTCCCCGCCCCCAAAACGCGCGGGGCTCCGGGCCCGCGCACCTGCCCCGCACGCCGGTCCCCAAAGTTGGCCCCGGGGCGGGGGCGAGGGGCCCGGATCCACCCCGCCAGGGGAGAGGCGCCGGCTCGCCTGCGTGCACAGGGGACTCCATGGTGGCCCGCGGCTGCCGGTCCGCCTGCTTATTTTAAAACACACGTAAAGAATAATAAGCTCGGGGTTTCTGGGAATCTTGCTTCTCAGGGTGGGAGGTGTGTGTGTGCCGCCAACGAGATTTACGAATTAAAAATGCTCTGACAACAAAGGAGCCTGTGTCGTGGAACAGGCTGGAGCTACTCGTGAAAGTGACACCAGACGTGTCCAGATCGAAAGGCAAGAATGGGCAGAGGATGGGGCTGTGTGAAAATTCTTGATAACCGTTGATAAAGCCCTTGCGTTAACTTTGTTACCCGCAGCAGTGGGAAATATCAGCGACAGAACTCGGGGACTCCAAAAATGTTTGCAAACCCAAGAAACAGGTCCCCTCAAAAATTAAGTCAGTAAACCGAGTAGTGTCAACATTATGAGCCCCAGAACGGTCAGAAATGTGTGCCTGTGAGAAAGCAAGAAAGACGAATATTAGATTCCTCAACAGGTGTTGAAACTAGGCCCAAACTGTGTTTGACATCCTCAACACAACCACTCAGAATGCAAACGCTTGGGCTCAGAAGGGAAAAGAGGGCGAGGCATCCAGGCTACTGGTGAAATACAGAAATAGGGGCAAGGGGCTCTCGCTGAAAGATCTGGAAAGGAGTAAAAATCGTAAAAAATCATGGTAACACCTACTACCCCTCTCACGTATTGTCACAAAAGGATGTGTTAACAGTTTTCATCTGATGGAATTGGTCTTGCAAAGTATTCTAATTTGACTAATGCTAGTTAAGAACAAACAAAAAACCCTGCCAAAGAATAAAACCGTACAGGACAAACACCCAAACTTTTTAGACGACTTCACTGCATAGGACTTACGACGACTCGTTTCTCAACCTATCGTTCCTGTAAAAACCTGGAAATATCCCCCAAAGGGCCTTTCTCTGGGTTAGAATGTGTGGCAACCTACTCCCAGGCACCTATTATCCCCAAAACTACACACGGTCAGGCAGGACCCAGGCGGGGCACACACCGGCCACAACACGACAGACTTGCCTATGTGTCTGGCCGAATACCGGGAAGACCCGATACTGAACACCGAAGGGCACGGCTCTGCACAACCAAAAGGATATTGTCACACTTCAGAGTTTTCCCCTACAGGAAAAGGAAACCACGGGGATGGAATCCTTTTACCGAAAACCTCCAACGCTACTTCCTGACCGTGCGCAGAGGTGGAATCACCTCAGGCGAAAAATCCCGGCTCGACACCGTTTTGTCAGGTTTCGGGAAGGAAAAAGCAAAAGCTTCCCTCTCGGGCCGACTTCTGGCTGCACACAAGGAGCGCTGTCACCGCGCCACTCCCCGGCCCGGACTCCGCCGGGCCACCCCGACGGTGCACCGCGTGCCTAGCACCGCCTCGAGGGCACAGGCCGCTTCTCCCGCAGCCCCGCTCCGCCCGGGGCCCGGGCCTCGCCATGACAGGCTGTTGGGGAGGCCCACCCCTCCCGAGACCCGACCCTCGGTCACCTTCTTCATCAACGCCTCGCAGCGGCCTGGCTTCGCGGGCTCCCCGGGAGCCTCCCGGGCGCCCGCAGAACCGGCCGGGCCGGGCAGCCCCGGCCCCCGAGCGCCGGCTGCACAGAAGCCGCGACGTCGATGTGGTCCTCCCGCCTGGGAAGCGGTTGCCCAGGGGCCCTCGCCCCGGCACGTCCCCTCCGCGACCGGCGAGCGGCTGACGAGGCTGCGGGCGCCGGGGCTGCCTCCTCTCAGCTCCGGGAGGCCCGGCCCGCCGCGCTCAGCAGCAGTTCCGGCTACGGAGGCCGGCGGAGACGGCGGGCACGGCGCGCGGGGCGGGGCGGGGCGGAGACCGCGCGGGGCGGGGCGGGGCGGGACGCCGCGCGCGGGGACGAGCACGCCCGAGTTTCCAGCGGGCGCGCCCCCCTGGGGGCGCTGCCATTGGCCAGCAGCGGGCGCGCGCGCTTGCACGTACGGACGCTGGGCGGGGGCGCGGGGCGGGCCTGCGACGCGGGTAGTGTTGTGACGCCGGCCTCGCGGCCGTGCGGGCCCGTGCGTCTCTCTGGATTGGCGGATAGACAGCCAATAGGGCCAGCGCCCTGGCTGTGATTGGCCGGAGTCGTGTTGACGGATGCGTGAGAAGTAAACGACGCCTCAGCTCAGAGTCTTGAATCCGGCGCGAACTGGGTTTTTAACGACGAAGTATAGAAATGCAACTGAATCACATAAACGCGCCGTGTATTAGGTTGAGTGTGTGCTTTTGAGGTTCTTTAGTGCGGTGGATGGCGCCGAGCACTCGGGTCGTATTTCTTCGTTATGGCGTTAAAGGAGCGTGTTCTAAATTCTAGCGTTTATTATGGAAGAGAAGAAAAGCGAGGTGGTGGTCGAGGCTGCAAACCTGAGAGGAGCAGTGTGTAGGCGACCGAGCGCTAACGCACAGTGGGACGGAGGCAGACGGTAAGACTGTGCTAGAGTTACATCATACGACCAGCGTCGCTACAGCAGCCGCCTAACAGCATCAAAAGCAACACGCAGTACACCTTAAACCCACACAATGTCATATGTCACATGTCGGGGGGGATTCCCAATAAATTCTTCTGTTTATGAAAATGAGATTTTTTTTTAAACAGGATCTGCCTTGTACCTATGTAATCCAGCAGCTAACCTGTCAGATCCACCTAATGTGGACTTCGCAGTAGCAACTTTTTTTCCCTTTAATGACATGACTTTGCTGTGTTGTTCAGAGTTAATTTCCAAGTTTAACCACGCCTGACCGAAAAGGCCAGGGAGCACGTTCTAGCGCCTTTGGGAAGGCAACCTGCCGCCAGAATCAGGTTGGTTTCTAAGGGGATGAGGCCATTACCATTTCCTCGCCAAAGAGGCCATACGGCCACCAGAGCGTTGAATGCACGTCAAAAGTTACATCGAATCAACGGACTCTGCTCAGAAAGCCTCTTGAACCACACCCTCCTCCTTGAGAGACAAAGCAGAGCCCAGCAAACGGTGTGCGGTCCCAAAGACTCCGCAAGAAGATGAACCGAAAAGAAGAGCACCTTAAGGAAGACGGTGTTCCGTGTCTCCCCCACACTCTCTCAGCCGACCGAGAGAGCGTCACCTCGTCTGTTAAGGTGTAACTGCAGAAGCCGGTCCCCACAGGCTGCATCCCCATCACACCTATAAAAATGTCACCCGCTTCCGTTCTCTGCGCAGCACAGGCTCCTAGGGGAGCCTCCTAGCTCCCCTTTCCGAGGTAGCGTCGTTGGTTCTAAACGCGCTGCGAGGGGACCAAATGTCCCGCAGGGCGGCGGAGCAGGCCGCCAGGGGACTCTTGCCCTCGGCGCTTCACGAACACTCCCGACCGTCTTCGGCTCTTTCCGGCCTCTCGAGGCGCTTCGGGTGGCCTCGGCATCCGCCGCGCTCACCTTCGGCTGTTTCCGCGGTCCGCGCTCAGCCGTTGTCCGGGCAACGCGCGGCGGCTCGGCGGAGGTGAGTGGGGTAGGGGGCTCCGGCTGCCGCGGCGAGGGAGGGGCTCCGTGGCGGCCCGAGGCGGGGGGCCGGGACGAGGACGCGCCGGGCCGGACCCCACTCCCGCAGGCCTCCGGAAACGGGGCCTCGGCCGAGCGGGTCGGTGGGGGCCGCGGGAGCTGGGCGCGGCGTCGGAGGTCAGCGCGCGACGGTGGCCACCGCGGACGCCGTCGAGGCCGGGCCGCGGGCCGCAGGGCGGAACGAGCCCCCGGGCGGGGGCGGGGAGGGGAAGTGGGCGGCGCCCGCAGCGCTCCCGGGACCCTCCGGGGCGGGGTGGGGGCTACAAAGCCGCCCCGGTGCGCGGCCGGTCGGCCTTCAAGTGCAAGGCCTGCGGCTGCGACCCTGCGCCGCCTGCGGCGAGGGGGCGCCTGCTGGGTGGCCGAGTGCCCGCGCCGCTGCCTTCTGCCTGCGCGCCCCGAGGCCCCCAGCGGAGCCGGGCGCCCCTGGAGACCTTAGTCCGCCGACCGGGGTGGGGGTGGGGGAGCGTGGATAGGAACAAATCGCTTAGAACAAACAGAATTTGCTTCTTTTCCTCCAAGTTTGTACATTTGCCACATACTCCCTTGTTCTAGAGGCCCTGAGTTTAAGGAAAGGAAGTGCACTAGTTTGTGAATTGATGACGCTACTCAGTGTCGTTAGGTAAGGATAGTATTGTTAGTCGTCTCTCCGTGTGTTTACTTAGGTAGCTTTTGTTTACGAATATTCAGATAACACTTCTTCGTGGTGGATAAACGTTAAAACGCAGGTACAAGGGATGCTGAGCAATCACACGCTGTGTAAAAACGGACTCACCCACCTTAGCCACTGTTTAAAATAAAACAGCAAGAGCATCTTTCCTGGTTAGTAAATATTTTCACGGTACTCACCTGGAGGGGGTGCTGTTCTCAGGGCTGGGGGTGCAGCCGGCTCCCACCTGCAGCAGGTAGAGAGGACGAGACAATCAAGCACACATTTGCAACTGAGTCGAAAAGCGGCAGTGAAGGTGGAGGCTCTGTGGGGACGCTGGGGAGAGGCTTAGAACAACCAGGTAGTGAAGCCAGAGGGGGAAGGGGCTTCTGAATCTCCAAAGGTGGAGTGTGGGGGAGGGAGTCTCAGAGGAAGCCCCAGGCAGGAAGGCTGTAGTTTAAAGACCCGAGGGTGGGGCGCCTGGGTGGGTTAAGTGTTGCACTTCCGCTCAGGTCTCAAGTCTTTGGTACCTGGGTTCCAGCCCCGGGTCAGGCTCTGTGCTGACAGCTCAGAGCCTGGAGCTGCTTCAGATTCTGTGTCTTCCTCGCTCTCTGCCCCTCCCCCACTTGCGCTCTCCCTCTCTCTCCCTCTCTTTCTCTCTCTCTCTCTCAAAAATAAAACGTTAAAAAAAAAAACCCGTAGGCACACATGCTTATTCCACGGTAGTGTTTGAGATTAAAAAATACAGAGAAAACCAGGTTTAACTTCAAGTGCTATGGTAGTTCTTTTTCCATCAGTCTAACAAAATTAACATTACTTATTTTTTAGAGGAATATTTTCACAAAGTAAACTCGTTAAATACGAGTACAAATTTGCCATAGCCCAAAATTTCCACCCTTGGCTGGCTGCAAACACGAAAACTCAAAAGCTTTCCTTTGCTTTTTTTAAACACCCAGGTTTTTATGCGTTTTTTTTCCATTGTACTGACTTATTCTTTGTAAGGGCATAAGGACTCTACTCTGAAGTCAGAGCCCTGACCAGAGTGGATGTCCCCTTAGAGATGTGGGGGGCCGAGGAAGGGAGGGAGGCCTCTGGATCCTGCCCCTTACCCTGACTCCACCCAGCCTCCCCCCACCACGCCCCCAGCGTGTGCCTCCCAATGTGTCCTTTACTCCAGAGCGTTGAGAACACCACCTCAGAAAGTGTGCCTCTGTTTAGGACTCAGTATACATTCGTAAGAAAAAAGGAAATGTTTGACACGTGACCATTCAACACAATTTTTTTGTTGTGGTAAAATATACATAACATAAAATTTACCATTTTGATGACTTGTGTGTACACAACCAGTGACAGTAAGCACATTGACACGTGGTGTAACCATCCCCGCCAGCCCTGTCTTACTTTTCATCTCCCCAAACAGAAATACTGTCTCCATTAAGCATTAACTCCCTAGCCCTCAACTATCCACCCTTTCACTTTCTGCCTCTGTGAATCTGACTATTCTAGGTTCCTCCCAGAGGTAAAAAGCACGCATTTGATTTTCTATGATTGGCTTATTCCCCCACCCCCACCCCCACCCCGGAGCAAAAAGTCTTGTACCTTCATAGATGTTGTAACATGTCAAAATTTCAAGGCTGGTTAAGCTCTGTTCTGTACATGCACCATATTGTGTGGATCCATTTAGCTGTCAGTAGAGGGTTGTTCCCTCCTCCTGACTACTGTGAACGTGCGTGTACAAGGATGTATCCGAGCCCCTGCTTTCAGTGTTCTGGGTGCACACCCGGAGCTGGAGACGCTGAATCACATGGTCCTTCTGTGTTTAAGTTTTCAGGAACCACCATACTGTTTTCCATAGCATCTGCACCAGCTCACACTCCCACGGGCAGTGCCCGAGGGTTCCAATCTCTCCACATCTTTGCCAAGACTTATTTTCTATTTTTCTAATAACAGCCATTTTAAAAATACAATTTATTGTCAAGTTAGCTGACATACAACGTGTACAGTGTGCTCTTGGTTTTGGGAGTAGATTCCCGTGACTCATCGCATACATACAACACCCGGTGCTCATCCCCCCTTCCCCCTCTCCCTGCCCCCTCCCATCAACCCTCAGTTTGTTCTCTGTATTTAAGAGTCTCTTACGGTCTGCCTCCTCCCCTGTTTGAAACTATTTTCCCCTTGCCTTCCCCCATGGCTTTCTGCTAAGTTTCTAAAGTTCCCCACATGAGCGAGGGCGTAGGATATCTGTCTTTCTCTGACTGACTTATTTTACTTAGCGTGATACCTTCCGGTTCCATCCACGTTGCTGCAAGTGGCAGGATTTCATTCTTTCTCACTGCCAAGCAGTATTCCATCGTACGTGTAAACCACACCTTCCTTATCTGATAACAGCCATTCTAACAGGCATGACGTGGAATACTTTTAAGTGATAGCAAGCCCACGTACACATATTCTCTTCTCTGCCAGTCAGCTGCCCCGAACTGCCTGGGGGGTATGAGAAGCGGCAGCAGGGGGCTGTCCAGCCACGCACCATCCTCCCCTCCTGCCCAGGGGCGAGGAGCAAATCTCTTCTTCCACGTAAACTTGCCTGCACCGTCTTAAGGAGTGTTCGTAAGTTGCAACGTGTTCCGATGGTGGCTCGTGATGCTTCTCCTTCCCGGTTCCGTGTCCAGTCACGGTCTCTGTTTTGTTCAAAACCAACAGGACTTGGCTGCTTTTCCTCTGCGGGCTTCGTCCCTGACCTGGTCTGAGTGTCATCATGGCCCTCTATTTTGACCACCGGGTAGAAGCCCCGGACTCAGCCGGGTCTCCTTCCCACATCCACTGGCACCCTGTTCATCCATTCCTGGCAGTCGCCTCCATCAGCACGACCTCAGGCGGCAGCCTGGACGTGTACCTGGAACAGGTGAGTAGTAGGAAGCCGCGGTTCTGACGTGCGGAGCTTCTGTCTTGTCTCGCCTTTGTCCGCATGTCTGTGTGCGTGCGTGTGAGTGTGTGTGTTTGTGTGTGTGTATCACTTCTTCATGAGGTCCCAACTCCCCATATTATAAGAGCCTTCACTGTGGACAGTGCTCTCAGCCCCAGCCCACGGGACGCTGGCTGGGGACATGTTTAGAAATGTCCAGCAGATTCCACAGTCATCCCCTGGCCTCTGTCCAGAGCCGGCCCCTCCGTGTGTCCATGCATCCTACTCTGCCGGTGTCCTGTGGCCGCCATAACAAATCTCCATGAGCTGGGTGGCTTAAAACAGATCTGTCCTCTCACAGTCTGGAGGCCAGAAGTCTGAACCGAGGGCTCCTCAGGGCCACGCTGCTCCTGAAGGATGCTCTGGGAGGGGACCGTGCCAGGCCTTGTCCTGGCTTCTGGCAGTCGCCAAAGGTCCTCGGCAGCCTCGGCTTGTACTCGCCCCACTGCCACTGCCGTCACGTGCGTCTGTGTCTCTTTCCCCTTCCTGTAAGGACATCAGCCATTGTCTTCGGGCTCATTCTAATGACTTCTTAACCTGATCGTGCGCAGAGATTCTGTTCCAAAATAAGGTCATGGCGCATGTGGCAGGTCAGGACTTCAGCACGCCTCTCTCCGGGGTGGCTTTCGCAGAGCTTTGTAGAAGCCTGTTCTCCATGCACGACACCCCTCACACGTCACAAAATCACATTTCCATTCCAATGCTGCAACCCTCTGCGGTCTCGCTGCACCTTCACCAGCACAGGGAGGCTCATCAGTGATGTGTGCGTGCTTCTGGGTCCTTATCTGAGGTCCCCCGCTCCTGGGAGACAGCCTGGAGGTGAGAGGGGCCACAAATAACTTTGGCCTTGCAGACCCTGGGGTCACCCAAGAGCCTGCACTCAGGGGCGCCTGGGTGGCTCAGTCGGTTGAGCGTCTGACTCCGGCTCAGGTCATGGTCTCACGGTCCGTGAGTTTGAGCCCCGCGTCGGGGTCTGTGCTACCCCCCCGCTTGCGTTCTGTCTGTCTCTCTCAAAATAATAAGTAAACATTACAATAAGAAAAAAAAAAGAGCCTCCACTTACAGAACCATGGGGTCTACAAACTTGGCCCCCTGGCCTACTGCTTGTTTTCGTAAATAAAATTTTATTGGAACCCGTTAAAAGCAAGCAGTTGTGAGTGGGAAGTATGAGGTCATACTCCTCCATAACCCGCTCAGGAGTGTTAACTCTGGTCAGTTGAGTGTTAACTCTCTGCTTTCATAGCCAAGGGCAAGACTGGCGTTTATATGAAAATTAAGTAGAATGTTTCTTTAATAAATGGCTCTTTATGTCTTCTCGCCGATAGCAATTTCGTTGATCAGCTAGAAGTTCCAGAACAGCTGTCTGCCATCGTCACATGGAAGTTGCCGCTTGTCTGTTGCAGGGGGAGCGTGTGCCTGATACACATCTCGAGAGGTCCTTCCGGGTCACTTCCTTGTGCTGGCACCCGACGCGACTGACGCTGGCTGTTGGCTGGGAGACCGGAGAAGTGACTGTGTTTAATAAGCAGGACAAGGAGCAGCAGGCGGTGCCCCCGACACACACCGCCGCCGTCACCGTCCTCAGGTGGAGCCCCAGTGGGAACCGCCTCGTGTCGGGGGACAGGGTAAGCAGACGCGGTTGGTGCTGCTCCCGGGTCCCTGCGTCCCCATTGGTGCTCTTAGGATGTGCACGCAGGGAAGGCGGTTAAAGACCCAAATTTGAGAAATTCGTGGTTGCTGAATGCACTTGGTCTTGTCAATGTCACAGCGGAAGCTGTTTTATCCTGGAAGCAAGGTCTGGAAATTGCGTCCTGCCGTCACTGGCAGAGGTGCGTCTGTAATTGTTTAAGTGAACTTTTCTAGGAAAGTCCGTCCATTGAGGCGAGGTGACTGTGGCAGTCACTTTCATGCCCCACCCCCACCCCCCAGCCGAATCACCAGCTTCCTTGCCTAGGAGGCCTGGTCCTCAGCCGCTGGCTCAGGGCTTCCTCACAGGGCTCCGTTTGCCCCCGGGGGGCAGTCGGCAGAATGCTTTTGCTGTGGGAGCGGTTGCAGGGGGTCGTACACTGGCGTCTAGTGGGCAGAGGCCCGAAAAACTGCTCAACAACCGAGAGTTCTCCGGCCACGAGTGTTACCTGTTCCCGGGCCGAGGCACCGTGCTCTGTGCCTCATTCAGTCCCCAAACGCACGGCAGGAAGTTTACACTGTGCTCATTCGTGTCCCCCGTGCAAGGTAATATGCTGACACGTTTCACAGCCCACAAGCCATGGAAAGGTGTCTCCTGGGACAGGACTCCCCAACCCCACGCACCCCGCTCCCCGCCACCCCGCCCTCCAGCGCCCACAGCTTCTCGAAGCGTCTCCCGTTTCTTCAGATCCGCAGCAGCACGTACCAGTGCGTTCCGTCCCGTGGCCACTTTTTAAAAATTTCCGGCTTTTGAAGGAGTTGGAAGAGTGGCCCCAGGGCGCTGTGCCCCCGCACTGGGTTCTCTGGTCGTGTTTTCACACGCCTGCTTGCTTTCCCTGAATCCTTGAGCGTTTGTCACAGAGATCACACCGCAGGCCAGAGCCTCCGCGCGGATCTCGAGGACAGGACTGGAGTGCCACCGCCGCGTGGCACTCGCACGGAGGACGGCCAGCCCTGAGGCGGCACCTTCTCGGGGCGTCCGGCCGGCCCGTCCGGGGCGCGTGTTGTCCTAACCCAGAATGCGGTCGAGGGCCACACGCTGCCGTTGGCTGTCCCTTCTCTCTGGTTTCCCTGAGTCCCCAACGGTTCCCTGGTCTCCTCTCTCCTTTCCTCCCTTGTTGCTGCCGTTCAGTGCCCTGACCATTTGGAGGAGTCCAGCCGGGTTATTTTATTGACTGTCCCTCAGCGTAGACCTGTTGCGTTGGGTCCTTGTGCTTTAGATGAGGCGGTTGGGGCTGGAACCTCCAGACGGAGGGTGTTGTCTCCTCCGTCATGTCCTCACAGAGCTCAGAGCACGCATGTGTTTCTGGCTCTTTCATCTCACGCCTGCCTGCCTTCTCTCTGAGCCTGCGTGTCATTACGTGAGCGTGTCACCGCATACTTCACCAGCCCTTGCTGATAGGCACTGGGCCACGCCCAGTCTTCTGCTAAGCACACCTGCACGGTGGCTAACCTCACGCGTGGGTCATTTCACACGTGGGGACATTCAGAGCCAGTCCTGAAAGTGGGGCGGCCGGTCCCAGGATGCCCGCGAGCAGTGGGTGCCCAAGCCTGCTCTGCGGCGCCGGCACCAGCCCCAACAGCGTACCAGCGCGCCCCCCACAGACAGGTGGACCCAAGTTCAGAATTGTGCTGAGAAAAGCACCGAGTCAGAAATGGCCTAGTTTGCATTTCTCTTGCAATCAACCGAGACTGTTACTTAGAAGAGCCAATTATGTTTCCTTCTCTGATCAGGTACCCTTGCCCATTTAGGTCTCGATTTGTGCCCCTTTTTTCTAGATTTCTCTTCCATTTTTCATTTCACTTCCCACCTAATGACATTGCTGTGTCCCCAGAACCCTTGTTCCCTGGTGATCTCCCCCCTCCCTGCTATGGAACGTGCTGCACATCCTCTGTGGGAACAGAAGACCTCAGGATCATTGCATCTCGTCATCTTGATCATATTAAGAAACAACGGGGCGGGGGGGGGGTGTCGCCCAGGTGGCTCAGTCAGTTAAATGTCTGACTTCAGCTCAGGTCACAATCTCATGGTTCATGAGTTCAAGCCCCACGTCAGGCTCTGTGCTGACAGCTCAGAACCTGGAGCTGCTTCAGATTCTGTATCTCCCTCCCTCTCTGTCTCTCTCTCTCAAAAATGAATATTTTAAAAAATTAAGGGAAAAGAAACAACTCACAAAGCAGGTTCCTCAGGCACGAAATGAAACGCAGGTTTGCTCTTTCGAAGTCCTCTGAGTCAAAATACTGAAGAACAGAAATCCTGATCCTTGCAGGAGACTCGAATCTGGTGCTGGTCCTGATTAACAACGGGCTCAAGCAGGACGACAAGTAATAAATGACCAAGCCCTCGGAGGCCACACTGCTGAGACTCTTCCCCCCAGGCTTGGCTGCGGGTCCCCTGCCCCCTCGCCAGAGACGGTTCCAGTGTTATCAGTGAAACCAACCCAGACCAGCTGAGGCAAGGAGAGACCCTTGGTCTGAGGCCGTTGGAGTGTCCCGTGGTCCCCAGGACAGGACGACAGCAGGCTTCTGGATGTCTGGACCGAGGCTGAGGTCCCAACAGACACACGTCTCCCTGCCGTGCAAACCTCCTGCCACAGCCAACCGTCTCCGTGCCCCACCCCTTCACAAGGGAGCACCCAGCTGCTGGCAACTAAGAAATTCCCTCCCCCACTTGGGAACTACTGTCCCTCTTCCTCTGTCCCAAGTCTGGCGCGGGCAGCCGTCGGCAGGACCCAGGGAGGCGGGGAAGTCCTGCAGTAGGGACGCCGCGCACACGCTGCCGGAAGCTGCGCTGGTGAAGGTGAGAACACCGCGCGCTCACGGAGCACACCTGGCATGGGCGGGCCGGCCGGGTGCCTCGGTGTGAAGTGTGAGAGGTGCCCTGGCAGGTCCCGGGAGCCGGTGCCCGCGGGGGTGGGGGTGGGGCTCCCCAACACCGAACGCGAAACGGCCCTCATGCACGGGGTGCCCGGAATTCAACTCGGTTCTGACACCGTCCACCTAGAGACAGCGCCGGGTCCCTCGGGCTCATCCGCATGACAGCCCCACCCCCACCCCCAGCCGTGCTCCCGCCACAGGCCACAGAGTGGAGCCTCCTCCTCCTGCGGCCCTTCCAGCTGGTTAGAGCGGCGCCCCGAGGTCAGGGAACCCCGTACTCACGCTCAGCAGCGTGTGGAAGGAAGTGACACAGGACACGAGGCGGCAGCCAGATGACGAGGCGCCCGGGGCGTTCCGGGGAGTCCCCGCCAGGTGCCACTCCCCGCACCCCTACCTGCCCGGAGGCCTCCAGCCCAGTCCCTCTGGGTGGTTACGGAGGCCTCACTGCAGCCCTGTGACCAGTGGGTGGTCCTCCGGGCAGCCAGCCCCGCCCCTGGGCGGAGACCGAAAGTCCCCTTTGCTCACGTGAGATGAGACCCCTGCGTGGCCCTTCTCACTGGAAATTCCACAAACCAGTGGTGAGGAAACGTGGCCATCTGAACGACCAAGGACATACTTGTTATCAGTCACGCATCATGGATCTTCACATGTCACCGGTCACGTGAGGTGATGGTGTCCCCACACTCACGTGTGCGGCACACTGACCTCACGTTAGCCTCCACGGCCTTAAACTCCTGCTCATGGCTCGGGCTGACTTCTTCTCTTCAGAGGTGACTTGTCTTTAGAGTCTATAAAATCGTGATGAATGTCACTGTCACGAGGGTGTTGTCCCAGTCTGGCACCTGGACCAGCCGTCTCCCCGCCTGCCTCTCGCACTTGTAAGCGCCCTCAATTCGAGAGCCTGATGACTTAAAACTGCACATATGGTACACCTGTCCCCCAAGCGGAGGTTCCCTGGAGAAACGACTGATCCCAGGACCAGGGCCCAGAGGGTCTGCAGCGCCAGCAAGAAAGGATGTGCCCCCAGATCCCGCCACCCCGGGTGGATCGGCGGGACGCAGGACGAAAGACCTCCCAGAGGCCGAAGCTGGATCATGAGAGTGAACCAAGTGGTGCGGGATCGTAACCCGAAGTGGAAAGTGAACGTCTGTGACACAAACGGTAGTATAAACCCGAGATTTAACAATTAAGGACCTCTAGTTCCGAAGTATCCCAAACGATTATGTAGCCTCTGTGCTCGAGAGGGTGACCTCCTTCCAACCAGTACAGGAGGGACTAGGGGACAAGGAAAGACTTCACCGTGGACAAGATCACCCACGGGGCCTCAGCGGCACCGACCACCCATGTGATGTGACCTGACGTGACAAGAAGGGCACGTGATCTCTGAGGCCGCCTCCCCAAAGCCACCACCCAGCCCAGGCGTGAGAAGAGTGTCAGGCGGGTCTCTGCGGAGGGACGCTCCACGGCATCCGTGACCAGGCCTCAAAGCTGGGGGTCAGAGGAGCCTAAGGGGACGTGCCGCCCAAATGCCCTGTGGCCCTGGGGGTGAGGGGGTCCTGGAACAGGAAGTAGATGTGAATAAAGCACGACTCTAGTTAATACGGTACCTCTGTGTCGGCTCGTAAATTCTGGTAAATGCGCTGCACTAAGATCTGCTCACGAGAGAAACACGGGGTAGAGGGCGGGGGCTCCTCTGAAATGACCTCTGCCGCTTTTCGTAAATCTGAATCTGTTCTAAAATTGAGCTTGGAAAGCTGGCTGCGTGCCAGGTGTTATCTCAGAGCGTGAGGGCAGGAGAGGGCGCACAGGGAGGCGCCCGGCTCCGTCCCACGGTCACGGTGCACGCGCGGCAGTTGGTGGCTTGTTTCAAAAGTCACCAGCGTTGATTCTGTTGCACCGTGTAAGTCTTGCCTCCCGCCGGTCACTCTCCAATTGTGTCTCCTCCACACGGCGTTGGCTTTTCCAGCTCGGTATCCTGCTCCTGTGGAGGCTGGACCAGAGGGGTCGGGCACAAGGACCTCCTCTGCTGAAGCACGAGTACGGAAAACCCCCGACGCACTGCATCTTCCGGCTCCCCCCTCCTGGCGAGTAAGTGAGAGTGCGGGGTGCAGGTGCGGGGCAGGTGAGGGGGCAGGTGTGGTGCAGGGCAGGGGCAGGTGAGGGGGCAGGTGTGGTGCAGGGCAGGTGCGGGGCAGGTGGGGGGCAGGTGTGGTGCGGGGGCAGGTGCGGGGCAGGGCAGGTGCGGGGGCAGGGGCAGGGCAGGTGGGGGGCAGGTGTGGTACAGGGCAGGTGGGGGGCAGGGGCAGGGGCAGGGCAGGGGCGGGGCGAGGGCAGGGGTGGGCACATCTGCCATGACCACGCTTCCCGTAGGAACATCGGGAGTCCTGACTTCCTGTCACGTCCGCCTTCCACAGGGACCTTGTCCAGCTGGCGAAGGCGGCCGTGAGCGGCGATGAGCGAGCCCTGGACATGTTCAACTGGAGGAAAAGCGGCTTCGGGAGCCTCCTGAAAATGGGGCCTCAAGAGGGACTGTCCTTCTTTGTCAGCCTGACGGATGGTGAGAAGCATAGCTGGGGTTTCTAGGACACTGAAGCATGTTAGGGGCGTCTGGTGGGGGCCGTGAACAAGGAGGTGACGTGTCTGCATGAAGCAGTTGTAGCCTGTGGGTGTGCCAGTCATGGCGTGAGGCGGCGGCTGCTCTCAGCCGTCACTGACCCCACGTTCAGAGGAGAAGGCCTCACGTTGTCCTGAGGAGGCGGGTGGGCTTGGCTTGTGTCTGGAGGGCTCTCTGGACAAGGGCCCGTCACAGCGCCCCGATCTGAGCTCTGGGGAGGGAGGGTGACAGGGCAGGATGGGCAGGGGGCCGGCACTGAGCACCGTCTGTCTGGACCCTGACTCCTCAGCATGAGCGGGGTCATGGGCAGCAGATAAATGCGGCATGGAGCACAGGCAGAGGAGGGCCTACAGCGACTATGGGAGACATATGCGTGCGTGCGCGGGAGCCAGAGCAGGGAAGGGGGCTCACGACAGCGGTGCCCTTCGACTGGGCAGGCCGCCACGCAGCTCAGCCCAGACGGGAGGAAGGGAGCAGACGGCAGCTGCAAGGCTGGGCTTTGCTTTTTTTAAGGTCGAGATACCAATTGTTTTTGGAGGTGAAGAGATGGCCAAGGGAGGGGACTTGGAGGGGCCCCAGGGGGCCAGGAGTGGGTACGGAGCCGTGCACAGTACCAGGAGGAGGCCCCCTTAGCAGGGAGTCGACGAGGTGGTGTGGGAAGAGGGCCCAGCGGACAGGGGTGTGTGGTGGGGACGGGCCTGGAGATGGAGGGTCAGGCCTGCCTCTCACACAGGAGCTTTGGGCCTCAGGGGCGGGTCACCCCGTGGAGTCGGACCCCTGCCTGCAAGCTCACTGCATGAACGTGTGTGGGTGTCGCCAAGCCACCACAGATGCTCGCCGAGGCGGTGCCCGCACAGTGACGTCTGACCCTGGGCCTCGGCACAACCTCGAACTTGCCAGTTGAATGGGAAGCGCCTTCCGTTATCCCTGGGAGCAGATGAGAGCAGACGGGGAGGGTGAGGAGGCTTCCGAGGGCAGCAGACAGGAGGCGCTTGGCCAGCACTCCCAGGAGGCTCCCCACCGACTCTGAAGACCGAGGAAGGGCGGGCAGGCTGCACAGGGCAGGGGAGGGAGGGCCTCTGGGCCGGAGAGCACGTGCTCACGGAGACGTCAGGTCCGTGGCTGCAGGAGGGCTGTGGCTCCAGGCCTGGGCGTCTGGGTGACGGATGTGCACCCAATGTTATCACTCCAGGGCCGGCAGGGAGTTTCGAGGCTGCCCCGGCAGGAGAGCAGGGCTGGGAAGTGAAGCCTATTTCAGAGGCGGCCTGGGGGTCTGTGTGCGGACGGTTTCTAAATGTTTCATTTGTCAAGTTTGATAATGAAGATGTTTACTTTGCAAATATCCCTGAGTAGGTACAGCGGCTGCCGGCAGGTGCCGCCCCGCCTGGACTGACCCCTTTGCCCTTAGGGACGGTGCACTACGTGGACGAGAAAGGCACGACAACCCAGGTGGCGTCCACGGACAGCTCGGTGCAGACGCTCTTCTACCTGGAGAGGAGGGAGGCCCTGGTGGTGGTCACACAGAGCCTGCTGCTGTCCCTGTACGTGGTGAGGCCGGAGGGCCAAGCGGAGGAAGTGATGAAGGTAGGCGGGACGCGGGCAGCAGGGTGGCGAGGCCAGGTGTCACCACCGCCATGCAGGGCGTCACTGACATGACTCAGTCCCCAGGAGCTTGCGGGCATGGGGGGGGCGGGGGGGGGGCGCGGCAGAGCCTGGCCGGCTCTGACCGGGGATCACTGCTCACCCTGCAGCGACTCATTTGACCTTCATGATGGAAATAAGACAGGGGACACAGTCCTGCTTCCCACCCTGTGTGCAGATAGGGCCCTCACTTCGCTGCGTCATGGCCCGTGGGTCCCCACCCGAGGGGCGTCCGTTGCCCTCCCCCTGAGAATCCTGAAAAACGTGCCCCGCGCTAGCTGCTGCTCTCGGCCTTGATGCTCAGCGAGGGCCAGTCCTCTCTGGCCTCCGGCCGGTCCCCTGGTTTATACCAGACGAATCCATGTTCCTCGGAGAATTATGAACTTCCCCTGAAGATGACCCTGAAGATTCCGAGCTGATTCAGTTTTCGTAAATAAGCATTTACATGGTCACTTTGGCGCCCCTGGCACAGCCGTCATAAATAGAGCCCCAAGTCACGTGGACCTGGGTCCAGATCCCCTGGGGCCTCTCACTGGCCGGGGGCCTGGGTGGGTTTGTTCTCTGCAGAACGGGGTCCTGACACCTGCCTGAGAGCGTGGGGTCGTGTCTGAACAGGGCTCTCCTTGGTAGTTGTTCTAGAAACACACTCACCGTGTGCAGAAGCTGCAACTGTGAGCCACGTAGCGCACAACAGGGAGCCGTGTGGCTGAGCGGGGGCCGCCTCTCCCAGCGTCCCTGGCAGCGCGGCTGGCACGTCCCCGCCAGGTCACCGCACACCGGACGCTCCAGGCTCCAAAGAACAACATGCTTCCTTCAGGTTGTTTCTTGTCATCAGGTGAAGCTGAGTGGGAAGACGGATCACCGGGCGGACATCGTGCTGATTGAAGGCAGCGTGCTTGTGACCGCCGTGGGGGAGCCCGTCCTCAGGTTAGAGCCTGCTGCTCGCAGGCCCCGCCATCGAGGGTCAGTCCCTTCCGGAGGGTAATGCGCACACAGAAAAACACGGGCTATGGTGAACCTCCACGAATTGAACACGTCCGTACAGGCAGCTGTGAGGTCAGAGAGCAGAGCATGGCACACACCCAGGCGGCCCGCCTTGGCCCTCAGCGTAGGCCCGGCCTGACCCTGACGCCTGGTTTTCTCGAGCTGGGCGTACGTGCAGTCGTGTGCTGTGTCTGCTTACCCGCCTGCTTCTGCTCCGCGTGGTACTTGGGGATTGGGTTCTCCTGCGCTCCCGTGCGTGGTTGGAGTTCCTTTGTTCTCACTGTGACCTGGTGTCACACACGAACCCTTGCTCCCCTGATTATGAACAAGGCATCAAATAGATCCAAGCGTAATGACACAGGCCTTTTGTATCGGAGTCCCTAGGGCTCCACCTGCTTCCTGATCGCTGTGCACAGTGAGCAGACTCAGGGAGCCGGGGAAGCCCAAAGACCTGGTCCCCTGAATGGCGCCGTCTGCCTTTCGTTGTAGATTCTGGGATTTAGAAGGAGGAGAGAATTACGTGCTGAGTCCAGAGGAGAAGTTTGGTTTCGAGAAAGGAGAGAATATAAACTGTGTTTCTTACTGTAAAGTCAAAGGTGAGCCTTGTTGGGTGCCAGAGAAAGAGAGGCAGCCTCAGGCCTCGCTCCGTGGGCTGCAGAACACGGCTGATGGTGACTCAGAGATGGTGGATGGGCTCTGACTGTCAGTCCCCTGAGCAAAGTCACTGGGGAGCGAGAAAGTGACAGCAGAGCTTTGCTCCCCCATGTGAAGGTGGACGGGTTTGCTGGACAGTGTGGCCACCGTGGCTACACGCAGGTGACCTCTGTTCCCTCCTGAAGCCACAGGAAAAGTATAGGAAACTAACAGCATGTGTATATGTGCCTGCACACATAGAGGACAGAAACAGGCAGTGAATCAGAGCATCATTTATTTTGTGCCTGCTGGGCACTGAGTGCCAGGCCAGCGCCGGGAAGCAGCCCTGAACTGGCAGACAGGTCCCTCCTCTCGTGGGAGACGAGAAAGCCGCGCCGGCACCCCCAGCCCACGCGGGGGGTGCAGGGCCGGGGCTGGCGCTCACTGGGCTGATGCACACGTTTGAAAGCCACACGTTCCTACTCCTTTAACCCTTTCGACTCACTGAACTTTGTTTGTACCCGCAGGTCTTCTGGCAGCGGGCACCGATAAGGGGCGAGTCGCCATGTGGAGAAAAGTGCCGGCCCCGCCTAGCAGCCGAGTGGCCGAGGGCAAGGACAGGTGGACCCTTCAGACCCATAATGAGCTCGAAGGCAACATCACGCAGATAAAGGTACGAGAGGCCCCAGGGCGCTGGGTGCTCTCGCCTGCCCTGCAAAAGCAGAGGAAGCGGTTGGCTTTGAACCTGCCAGTTACTCAGCTTAGGACTCTATAAAGTAAAACATCATTCAACACCGTTCTCGAGGCCTTTGGGGTTCCAGAACTGTGGACACGGGACCGCGGGCGTGTAGTCCCCCGTACCTGTGTTATCCGTCCACCCATCCCCATCTCTGTCCCCTCTCCGTACCTGGAGAGCAGCTGTGTCAAGATGGGCCACACACAGCGCTTCCTTTTCGTGTATTCGGAGTGTGTGGCCGTCACGACACACCGTGGCCCAGGAAGAGGCCCTGTGAGCCAAAAGTGCCCCCGGCCCCCTGTCCTCCCTGCGCACACGTGCGCTCTCTCTCTCTGGGTTTGCCCGCGCTGGGCGCGTCCTAGAGGCGGAGCCACACAATCTGCGGCTTCCTGTGTCCGGCCTGCGTCCCTGAGCGTCGTGAGTCCCAGGTCCACGCCCGCCACGGTGCGTGTTGGCGGTGCCTCCCCTCGCACAGCCGAGGGGCGCCCAGGGCGGGCATGGGCCACGTTTCGCTATCTGTTCTCCTTCCATCCCTTCCATCAATGGCCACCTGGGTTGTTTCCACATCTGGACTTTTGTGAGTCACGTGGCTGTGAACATTGGTGTGCAAGTTTCTGCGTGGGCGCATGATTTCATCTCTTGGGCAGATGCTTTTTATGCTTTTTTACTATAAATTCTGTCTCCTAATGGCTTGCATCTGGGGAGACGCGGCGTGTCACCTTCCTTTGCATCTCTAAGTGCTGCGCCCTGTAATTGTTTGCACAGGTTGGTAGTGGCCTCTGCGGAGGCCTCGTCTGTTAAGTCGGGCATCTGGGCCTTCTGGCAGTTCCTGTTTGCTTTCAGTTTCCAGGGTGTGTCATACTCTCCTGGTTCACGTGGCTCTCGACCTTTGGCTACAAACCCCTCCTCCCGCCCCACTTACCTCTGTGGTTTGTTGCCACCCGCCTGTTGGTTTAGTGGCTGGATCACTGCAGTGACGTCTCTGTCCCCCGCAGTGTGCACCCTCTGACATGGCCCCCGGAGGGCTGCCCTAGGGCGTGTGCACGGCCCCGGCACAGCGGTGAGCGTGAGGCCCTCAGAGTGTCCTCTCCCTTATCTGCTGAACCGTGCACCTCAGCCCCGCTCAGCTGCTGGCCGGTGGCCCTGGGCATCGATTGCCACCCCCCTACCCCGGTCCAGGCCCATCCCATGTGGGCAGGTGTAGTCTTCAAGCTCAGGGTCATTGCTTGGTTCCGACCCAGGAAGCCTGCTCCAGGCGTGTCCGTCCCCTGTTCCCTCTGGTCACCGGTCATCTGCTGGGAAGCTCGTAGCTCTCGTGAGGCTTCCGCTCGCTCCGAGAGTGCCCTCAGGCTCGGACTTGCCTACATTCTGTTTCAAGTGGGGTCACTTCCTTTGGGGAGCACTTCGGAGCTCCGTTCCAGGGGGCTGCCTCTCCCCTTGGGGGAAGAAAGTCTGAGGCCCCGCCCCAGAGCTTGGGATGGGGACGGTGGCCACCTCTGCAGCGACACCCTGCTCTGCGAGCAGTGAGCAGCGCTCCGCAGCCTGTGGTCTTCTGACGTGGCCTCTCCCAGCGTGGAGCCCGCGCACCGAGCGAGCTGGGGCGCAGGCGTGGGGGCCCGGCATTCTCGGGCACCCTGTGACCCGGAGGGACCCCACCCCTCACAACGTGGAGCCAGGGAGTTGGGCACGCCACCCGGGAGACACCATGGCCCCGACGGGACAGGGAGCCGACGTCCCGGCCACACCTGCCCCGGCGGGAAGGGGAGCCCGGAGGCTCGGGGCCACAGAGCTGCTGTTCCGGCCGGATCCGGCGGGCTTTCCTGAGGCCGCCTTCGTTCACCTCGTGCCCGTGCCCGACGTCCAGAGCTTTAGGTGGCTGTTGCCCCCTGCGGTTTTCTCCAGGCCCACCTGCTCCCGCCTCAGGGTCCTCCTGCTGCCCCAGGCTGCTTCTCGGACCCCAGACCTGGTCCCTGAGACCAGATCTTACCCGCGGCTGGGTCAGGACAGGAGGAAACACCCAGTAATGGTTGAGCACTTCGGGTGCTACCCTTAGACCCTCGCGACGCAGCCGTAGGTAAAAGTAGCTCCTGGGTGAATTAGGGACTTGAATATGGTCATGAGGCCAAACTAAATGCCTGCAAATAGCATAGATTATTATCAGGTCGGCAGAGAATGTACAAGTTCCTCAGATTTGAAGTGATGGGAAGAGCCACGCTAATTTTCCTTAAGGTCTTAAAAAAAAAAGGAAGTAAACGGTGAGACCTTCTTTAAAGAGAAGCCTCGGTGCAGGGGTCCCCAAGTGGCTCAGTCGATTAAGCGTCCAACTTCAGCTCAGGTCATGATCTTACGGTTCATGGGTTCAAGCCCCACATCAGGCTCTGTGCTAATAGCTCAGAGCCTGGAGCTGCTTCAGATTCTGTGTCTCCCTGTCTCGCTGCCCTTCCCCCACTCACACTCTCTCTTTCAAAAATAAATAAACATTGAGGCACCTGGGTGGCTCAGTCGGTTAAGCGTCTGACTTTGGCTCAGGTCATGATCTCACTGTTCACGGGTTTGAGTCCCACGTCGGGCTCTGTGCTGACAGCTAGCTCAGAGCCTGGAGCCTGTCTTTGGAATCTGTGTCTCCCTCTCTCTCTGACCCTCTGCTGCTCACGCTGTCTCTCTCTCTCTCAGAAGTAAATTAAATAGACATTAAAAAAAATTTTTTAACAATTAGAAAGGAGACAGAGAAGCCTCCCCCATATAAAAGTGTCATTTCTTCCCAAATAAATTTACCCATTACATGTACGTCCATACAATTCATGATCTTTCTTTTTTTCCCCATGGGGGAATTTGACAAAATAAACTCCTCTGGGAGAGCACATGGTGAGGGGGAAATGCACAGAATCAGAACATTTCCGTATCCCAAACCGGAATATATCTCGAAACTAGAGCAGTTCAAACAGCGCGCGCTTACTCAGGCGTGGGTAAACGTACCGTGGCACGGGGAAGCAAATCCAAAACCAGACAGACGTAGCTTTAGAAGGTCAAGTGAGATTAGGAAAGTTCGTGTCCCCGGAGGAGAGCCACGCGATTCAATACACTGTGTCAGCATGTCATCCGTTTACAAAGAGTATACATCCTTAAGTTTACAACTAACTGGTCACAAAGACAGGACATGGAGCAGCCCCGTCGCATTACAACTCGAGTGTCCGTGTTTTACAATTTTCCGTTAAATGTGTGTTTTGTGCCAAAAGATCTGTAAGTCGGTTTTCACACCGAGAGGAAGCAGCGCTGTGAAAACAGCGATGCACCGCGTGTGCCGCCGTCCTGACGGCGCCTTCCTCCCTCTGCTCCCCTCTCGCCTCCATCGGTGGTGCGGAACCCAGTGGGGCTCACGGAAGAGCCTGCTGGCGGTCCACAGCGTCCGCTCCGTGGTGATCCTCCGTGAGCAGGCCATGTGCTCGCACTTCCACCAGCAAGTGGCTGTGGCACAGACCTCCCCCAGCTCGCTCAGCGTGTCCTTCCTGTCCACGGGCGTGACACATAGCCTGCGCACAGACATGCACATCAGCGGGCTGTTTGCCACCAAGGTGAGCACACAGGGGCGCTGGGCTCTGCCAGGTCCTTCGGGGCAGTGAGGGTGCGGGCGGCGGCTTGCTTTATAATCTCCATGACCCTTCATAGGATGCCGTTGCTGTGTGGAATGGAAAACAGGTGGCGATCTTTGAGCCTTCTGGAACCACGCTACGGAACGCAGGTGGGAGCCTCGTCCCCCCCGCGGGGGACTCACAGCACTCTGCTCTGTCTTCTCGCCATCTAACAGGGGTGCTGGTGCCCGCAGTGTGGGCAGGGGGCTGGCCCAGGGCTCTGGCCCTTCAGTGCTGGGCGGCGGCCTGCTGAAGCTAGAGGCGGTGGCTGGGAAGCCCTCCTGGGAGCCTGGACAGTGAATGACCACAGTGCTTTCTGGGGAAAGGGGTGGCCACAAACCCGGCTTCTGAACTGGTTCCCGACCCACGCGGAGCCTGAGCCCTGTGGCACCTTGGCCAAAGCCGCCTCTGTCTGGATGTGAGGATGGGCCGTCAGCCTCCACATCCTTCTCACGGGCGCCTTTCCCCTCCCTGCTCTGCGCGTGCCTGAGGGAGCGTCCGGGGCAGCGACAGACAGCAGGCACAGCCCAGACAGAGGTTTCCCCTCTCACAGCCACAGAGGCTGGGAGTCAGACACACCTTCCCGGGGCCCAGTCAGGGCATCGGCAGGCCACACCCCTGAGCACTAGGGAAGTCTGTCACTCGCTTCTCCAGCTTCGGTGGCTGCTGGCCATCCTTGGCTTGGGCCCATTGTCCTGGGCCCTCCCTGCACTGTCACCTCGTTCCCGTCGCGCATCTGCTCCCTCCTGCAGAGGCCTCGTGGTTGCCGTCAGGGCCTCCTGCGTAATCTCGGACGCTTTCCCCATCTCAGGACCCTCTGTCTTTGACCTTATCCTAACATCCATGCCCCAGGGACCAGGACCTGACAGCGCGGGGGGCCGCGTGCAGCCTACTGTAACGACCCCTGGGGCGCACTCCTCGGCCAGCTATCCTGCACAGTCGTTGCGTGCACCCGGGCTGACCCCACTGGAGCGGGCATCGTGTGCTCTGGGGCGCTTCCCCTACCCCCGTGGGCTTGTCTGAGCCGCTCTTGCCTCCCTGGGGGTGCTTCTCTCTCACCCCAGATGAGCCTGTCCCCCCTTTTCCCCATCCCCTCCCCCCTCTTCTCCTCTAACGCTTCAGCGCCTAAACTTTTCTTATAACACTTTGCCTGCTCTGCCTTGTGTTGTGGCCGTACTGAGCGTCCTCTCCAGCACGACCCCCTTGGGGCAGGGACGAGCCTCTGGCCCCTCAAGAGGACAGCACAGCAGGTGCTCACGCATTTTCTGCCCTGTGTGTGTCATCACCTCCCTGCCCAGATGAGAACCCGTCTAGACCCAGGGATGAGGGCTGGTGGCCTCCAAAGCCCCACCTAGAGTGGACGGACACCTGCTTAAACAGCTGTGCCGGCCAGTGGGCGGGGCCCGGTGACGCGTCACTGCTCCAGCCCCATCGGCGACCCTGTCCCTGTCCCTGCGCCTCAGGGCCTTGCTTTCTTGCAAGAATGCGCCCCTCACTATCCTGGTGAGCGCCAGGGCGAGAAAGAAACGTGTGTGAGGAGCTGAAGCCTGAGCACGTAACGTGTTCATCTGTCGTCCTAGGAACCTTCCTGTGTGAGTCTCCGGTGTTGGCCATGCACGAGGAAAATGTGTACACCGTGGAGCCAAACCGAGTCCAGGTTCGAACCTGGCAGGTAGGTTACTGCTCTGGGGCAGGAGGGATTGATGGGAAAGCAACTGGAACAGTTTAAAAGGCCGTTGGTAAGTCCAGCCAGAGCCGCTTAGCAACTTCACGCGGCCGGACCATAGTCCCCCACCCGGCACTTGGCGTGAACTCCACCCGCGGCTGCTGGGATCTGTGAAATCAGAGGCAGGGCACGGACCCCGCACCATCGTAAGGACTGGACCACCGGCCCCCGAGTCCCCGGGCTGGAAGTGGGAGGAGGTGTTTGCTGCAGTTCACGTCCATCTTGGAGGCTCTGGTCAGGCCCCGCCCTGCATGTTGTGGGGGGTGGGTGCCCTCGATGGGCCTTCCAGGTGACCGCCTCCAACACACCGCCTGTTCCCTCCTGGTGGCGCGGAGTAGGCGTCCCTGCCTGCCCCTATGTGGCACGTTAGCTCCCTGAACCTGCCATCACAAAGTGCCGGAAATCAGGCGGCTGAAAGCAGTCGAAATTTATTTGCTCACAATTAAGGAGGCCGGGAGTCCGGGTCCGGGTGTGGGCAGGGCGGGCTCCGTGTAACCCCTGCTTCTGGCGGCTCCGGCGTGCCTTGCCGTGTAGACCCATCGCTCTGTCTCTGCTCTGTCGTCACCTGGCCTGGCGTCCTTGTCGTGTCTTGTCTGTCTTGTGAGGGTGCCGTCCCTGGACTCAGCCACCCTAACCCAGAGTGGTCTCCTCTCGCGGTCCTTAATTCCGTCCGCAAAGACCCTTTTCCAAATAAGGTCACGTTCACGGGTTCAGGTGCACGGATGTTTGGGGGCCCCCACTCAGCCCAGGACACGCAGCAGCGCTGTGTCGAGGGCGGAAAAGCTCACGGCTCTGATTTCAGCTCTTGTGCGGCTGCTTTATCCATCTCTGGGTCCTTTGCGGGGGTCCGCGTTCGGCTTCTGGGGGCTGCAGCTCACACGCGCCAGGTCCCCGCTGCTCACCGCCATGCCATGCCGCAGCTCCCGAAGTTCTCCCTGGGGGGCCTCAGCGGGTGGGAAGCGCCCCAGGGGGCGGCCCTGGAGTAGAGGCTTCAACGTGGGGATGCTGACCCCCCCCTTCCCCCCGCCGGGAGGTCCCTGCCTGTTTGAGGAGGGAGGGGAGGCAGAGAGAGAGCTGCAGGGAAGGGGGCCAGAGCCCACTGCTGCTGACACTAGTTGGGGACACCTGCCGAGGCCAGGAGGGGCTGTGTCAACGACCCATGGAGGACGCAGCCATGTGAGCACAGCTGACCTGCGGGCCCCGCTGTAGGGGTGGGGGTGGACAGCCAGGGAACGGGGCTCACCCGGGAGTAGCAGAGACTTGCAGTCTGGGACTAGCAAGTTACAGCAAAACCACAGCAAGTCTGCGGCCCCGGGGAGGCTGTCGTAGACCCAACCCCAGGGGTGAGCTGGGGGCTGGGCTGTTGCTGGGAGGGGGACCTCCCCCCTGCTGGGGTAGCACAGTCCACCCTTGAATAACTTGTAGGCAGGGGGGCCAGCCCCCCACACAGTCAAAAATCCACATGTAACTGGACTCCCCAAAACCCTGGTGACTGGAAGCCTTACCAATAGCACAGTCGGTTAACACATATTTTGTACATCATACGTGTTATGCTGCACTTGATCTTGGCTGAAAGGCTGAGAAGCGATTATAGGTGATTTATACTGTATTTTGACGATAAAGCAAACCAGGGAAAAGAGAAGAAAGTCACAAGGAAAATATCTTTACAGTCCATACCGTATTTATCAAAGAAACGTGCATGTAAGTGCGTGAGTGGACAGTGTGGCTCAGACCCATGCTGTTCAAGGGCCAGCAGTGTAGCCACTTGGGGCTGAGAGCGCCCCCTGCCGGCCTCCGACTCCATTTTCTAAATGAGGTTTCCCTTTATTAATTCTCATATTTCCTCTTTTTGATCAAAATCTTTGAAAGCATCGCTGGGGCGCCTGGGTGGCTTAGTCGGTTGAGCGTCCGACTTTCGCTTAGGTCATGATCTCGTGGTTCGTGGGTTCGAGCCCCGCATCGGGCTCTGTGCTGACTGTAGCTCAGGGCCTGGAGCCTGTTTCAGAGTCTGTGACTCCCTCTCTCTCTGACCCTCCCCTGCTCATGCTCTCTCTCTCTCTCTCTCTCCTAGAAATAAAAATTTAAAAAAATTTAAAAAAATTAAAAAAAAGGAAGCATCGCTGATCAAGTCATGCTTTCCGTATTTAGTGGTTCCATTCCTCCGTGCCAGGAAGGACCTTTCCTCTTGTCCCGTCCCACATCACAGGTCCAGTGCATAGCTTGTTGCAAACCGCCCAGAGCCACGTTTCAGTGACAGGGAAGGTCAGGAGGGAGAGAAAGGCAGCCTGAAGGTAGGCGAGCTTAAAGTTTGTATCATTCCGGTGCCTAAGCCTTGAAGATCATCTCCTTATTGGGTATGTCATTTTTTAAAAGTTTGAAGAAGTAACGAAATACAGACCTTAAAAATAATATACAAAAAAGAAGTACATGAGAAGGCCAAACCGTATGACGAGCCGGGACCAGCTGTGAAGGTGTCCGACTGAAATATTCATTGGCACTTTATCTGACGAAGGGGGAAGGGTTCTCCCTGCGGAAGCAGACGGGAGCGGTGTGTTCCTCCTAAAGCCTCCGTGGAGAGCAGCCAGGAGCGCGGCGCCGCGGGACTGCGGGAGCACCCTGCAACCACGGAGAGAGAAAGCAGTAGATGGTGGGCTTTTTGCAAAACTTCAAAGATGTTTTAAAACCGTACTGTTACGTCCAGCGCGCTGCGTGGAACCAGAGCTGTTCTCACCGGTACAGCAGACGCAGTTGTGAATTCAGACCCCTTGGATTCAGGCAGCAGCTTCGATGACAGGCAGACCTCTGTGAATCCTGAATCTTCTCACCCTTCAGAAGAAGCACAGGAAAAATTCATTGTTACTGGCTCGTGACAAGGCCATTACAGAAGGGCTGTAAACGAGGAGTTTCGCCCTTTCTCGACGGGGTGGGGAGCGCAGACCAGAGCACCCCCTTCCAGGAAAGAGGGAAGCGGCAGCGGCGAGGAGGACTCGGGCCTGGGCTGCGCACCTTGGCAGGGCTGTCTCGTCCGCCTCAGTCGCAGGGCCCCTCAGGGTTTGCTGCTTTGTTCAGATGCATCACGTGAATCCAGAGTCTGTTTCCTGTGGTTCGGTAGCACAAAGGTTGTTTACCAGTGGCTGATAAGAACCTTTCCAGTGGGGAAGAAGAGAATCTTTCCGGAGGCTTCTTTTCCCACAGAGCCTCCAGGTTGCGAGACTGATCTGAAGTCCTCGTCTCCCAGGAGCACACGGTGAAAAGATCGCTCCATCAAAGCAGGGTTTGGGTTTTTCTTTTTTTTTTTTTTGTTAACGTTTATTCATTTTTGAGAGAGAGACAGAGCGTGAACGGGGAAGGGGCAGAGAGGGAGACGCAGAATGTGAAGCAGGCTCCAGAATCAGAGCCCGACGCTCAAACCCACGAACCACTAGATCATGACCTGAGCCGAAGTCGGATGTTTATCTGACTGAGCACCCCCAGGCACCCCAAAGCATGGTTATTTTTCACAGAAGCAGTTGCACCTGTGCGACCTTGAAGTGTATGTCCCGTTATCAGCTGCGGGTCAGAGGTGGCTGGGGCCAAGTGCACGGAGAGCCCAGGAGCCCCCGAGAGGGCGGTGGATCCGAGATTTAGGACCGACAGCAGTGCTTTAGGCCAAGCCAGTTGGAGGGTCTCCACACATTTTGCCGATTGAGTTCACGGTGCCGTTAGGTGACTGCGACTGACCCGCGGCGAGGACACAGTGCGACCAGACAGACTGACTCACCGCAGCGCCTGCCAGAGGACAGGCTCCCGGTCACCGTGTGGCGGGAGAGCGGTCCCCAGGTAGCGGGGACGTTTTCTGACGGAACTTTGGCCACGGAAACAGCGGGGGCCTGTCTGCAAGGGAAAACTCCAGTCTGGTGAGAAAGCAGACGGACCACGACCAGAACGTACCTGCGCCCGTGAGATGGGCAAGTTTTACAAAATCCACCCGTAGAGCAGGTTTCTCTGGATCATACTTCTGACGGGCACGACACGCGAGGGGGCATTTAATGGCCTTATCAGTATTTCTCCATGTTGGTTCACAAACCCCATCATTTTGCCAGTAAACCAGTGGTTTAATAGACGTCTGGTGGTCTTGAGTGGGATTTTGGAGCTTCTGGGAGGGCCGGACGGTTACTTGGCCCAAATGAAAGCTCTCTTTTTATCGAACCAACGGTTACTAGCTTTCCAGTGTTGTCTTTCTTTTCTGGGGCCAATCGATGGGCCTTGCTGGGCAATTCTTCCGAATCGTCATTTGAAAGAGCACGTTGTGGAACATGACGGACGCCTGGCCACCGGTCTCCTTGGCGGCAGCGTTTCGGGTGGAAATATCAGCACAGCGGTGGCCTCCAGGGAGTCAAATCTCGAATGCCCAGGAACCTTAACAGTAGTCAGAGGCGCTGGCAGAGGGAAGGCTTCTAATACATTGTGGACGACAGAGGAGCCGTCCGAAATCAGATCCGCTTCGGAGCCAAGGAGACCTTGTGCTCCCAGATCCTCGCCGCATCCTCGGCTGCCCTGAAGGCACACGGAGCTCCGTGTCCATGTGCATGTGTGGGTTTTACCCCTGGCCGAGGTGCAGGCTCCGGGACGGCCACACAGCTGCTGCCTCGGTGACTTCCCGCGCGACTTGCTGCAGCCGACCCCACTCGGTGCTGGCCGCGCCTCCATTACCCAGGAGCCATCAGCAAACCAGGAAAATGAGCGCTGGTTGGAGGAGTTTCCTGTCACTGGCGGTGAGTGATCTGTTGGCGGCAGGCGGTCATGAGGGGTTTCATGTGCGTCCAGGTGGAGTCCTCGTTCAGGGATCCGAGGCCCAAAGCATCAAAGCCGTTTGAGCAGACTGCAACTTTTCTTTGGAGACTTTGTCTCTCTCCCTTTTTTTAAGTTTATTTATTAATTTCGGGGCGGGGGAGTGGGCTGTGTGT